CGTGCACCAGGACCATCTTCAGCTCTTTTGAGTTCCGCACGTAAGCCAATAGGAGCTGGAGCGCTTGCGTCTGTGTGGACCTTGATCAGTGAAAGCCCTGACGTCTGTCGATAGAGACGAGAGCCTGAGCACTGAGGTGCACGACTAGCAATGAAAGACCATGCGCGGGACTTGATGGAGGCACTTTGGCTTGCTGTGAGGGGTCTACAGCGACATGGGCTCGGGTCGACGCCTCTACATGGACAAAGTTTGTTCCGATCCGATACCACAGTCTCATTTCCTACCCTGTGCTTGGAACCCCGATAGCCGCTCACAAGCTGAAATCTCGGCTGACGGTGACCTTTTAAATCGCGGCTGTGCGAAAGACGCGGGAGATGGTGAAGCGGGAAACAGATCAGCCCCCAATCGGGAGGTGCAAGCATTAGTGTCTTGGCATAGAAGCTTAAATGCTAAATCCCACAAACATGAAACGCGAACACGTGAAATTCGACATGGGCTGTGCGCACACAACCGCCACCATCCAGCGAATGACAATCCACGGGGGATTTTAACACCTCGAGTGAGACGACGAAAAAAGTACACAATACGAGTAGTACACTTTCGTGGTCAGACTAGACTACCTTATCCACGGGATAGATTATGTATCCATGTTATTTCATCCCATCTTTCTGAGATGAGCCTATACTATATTAGGATTATCGAGTAGCGTTCGGAGTACAAGGCATAGATTACAGTGGGTTTATCCAATTAATATATTAGCCAGCACCAACAAAGTCGCACGAAGTGATCGCGAAGAGTAACCTAGTTCTGTACTTGGCATTAATTAGGTGTGCGACGTTTTTGTCGTCTGGTCTCGATCTGATCTCACACCCACGCTGGAAGGGTCGGCCCAAAATAGCCCCAACTATTCCTAAAGCGGGCTAGCTGACTACTCGCTTACGGGCTTTTTGCCGCCGCTTTCAGGTCGTTTCGGTTCTGCTTGATCGTATCGCATCGCATGTCTCTACCAATTCCACCACGAACAGAAACTGCGTCTCATTGGCATCGTGGGCCAACCGATACTGCGCGAGATCTGTGAGATCTTAGGTGCATACCGACTACCGCTCACCCAATCCCGTCTTTCCATTTCCATCCCGGCACCCGCAGCCACCGAAAAGACTTTACCACACCCACATCAAACCCTCCCCTTGACCCCTGCGTCTCGTATCGACAGAGCCTCGCTCTTAGCGCGACACGGACAACGTCAGATACACCTCCCGTCTTTGCGAGTATATCACTACTGCCGCGCGCCCTCTAACACCATGGCGCCTCGATTCCACAACTCAGAAAAAGAGCCGTTGCTCGCCGCTCATTCGAGGCGCCCCTATCCGGGACGTGTCTCATCTCCTTCCCACACTCATTCGGGCAAACATTCACTTGCTTCAGCTTTTCCAGAGACTGTTTCTCTAAACTCATCTTCTCGGAGCATAGACGGTCGTTCCTCTTTCTTCCCACGTTCATTGCATATACAGATTTTAATCGGCATCATGGTTGCCATTCCTACATACATGATGGCCTCGACGGCGGCGACTTCGCTTGGCCCGCTATGGCCTCGAAACTCGGTAATAAGATCACCGCGACCGGACCCAATTCCTCAGACGACATCTACCACAGTCATATCAAGTCCGGACTCCAACCCTTTCGCCTCAATAGTAGGACCACACATTTCATCCAACTTTCCCGACCCGGCCATAATCTACGTGGACGGTATGTCATATGCTTTCGCGACCAACAATCGGCAACCAGCGCCGAATCACATCAACATTCAGGTCGCCGTTTCCACGGACAACCAAACATGGACGTTGGTCGACCAACATGATGCGCTCCCCAATCTTGGCGCGTGGGAGACCGGCGCGGGCGTCTGGGCTCCGGATGTCGTTCATTTAGTAAGTCAGGCACGAAGATTTCTGCTCGAGACATGACTAACGGCGCGCCATCCAGGACGACGGCACATTCGTTCTCTACTACGCCGACAATGTCGTCTGGTCACCGGCCCACCACTGCGTCGGAGTAGCGACATCGCAGAGCATCCTAGGCCCGTACACACCGCAAGACAGCCCGTTCGCCTGCCCCGACGTCGACGCCCTTGGCGGGGCCATCGACCCGGACGGCTTCCTCGACGAATCCACCGGCAAGCGCTACGTCGTGTACAAGGTCGACGGCAACTCGATCGGCCACGGCGGCGCCTGCGGGAACACGGTCGCGCCCATCGTCCCCACGCCGCTCATGCTGCAGGAAGTGGACCACGACGGGATCACGCCCATCGGCGACGCGGTGCAAATTCTCGACCGCGATGACTTTGACGGGCCCTTGATCGAAGCCCCCGCTCTGCACCGCTCCGCCGAGGGCGTCTACTTCCTCTTCTTCAGCAGCAACTGTTTCACGACACCCCAGTACGACGTTTCGTACGCCACGGCGACGAACATCTACGGCCCGTACACGAAGTCGTCCCGCCCGCTGCTCGTCACCAGCGACGCCGACCTGACCGGCCCCGGTGGCATGGATATCATCAAGGGAGGCGGATTGATTGTCTTTCACGGCCACATGACGGTCAACAACGATCCCATCCTCAAGAAGGAGGCCGAGACGCTGGCCGCCGCGGACAACACCACCGTCGCGAATGTCAACATGCCGCTTGTGCGCGGGATGTGGTCTGGCAAGGCGACTTTCCAGGGCACAGAGATTTTGTTATCGTGAGAGAGCAGACGGGAGGATGGCGCGCTCTGTGCTTTGCTTTTGTTTTGCATCTAGCGTTCAAGCGAGTAGGGAGTTTGGAGTTGGGATCTTGGCCGCCAAATTTAGGACGGCGAATATACCTTAACTGGATGTGGGATGTAAGATGTCAGATGTGAGATGCGAATTATACGAGATGCGAGATATGAGATGCGGCAATCTCCCACCATGTCACGAAGCATTTAGATCTCTGACTTTATTTTGAATTGGATTTGGAGATTTACGACTTTCGGGGTCTTAGACCCGCAAATCATACGAGTACACCCAGTCAGTTGGCCACGCAGGAATGAGGCAGCAAAAAATACATACAACGCATGCGTATATACGCACACATTTTAAGTGTTACGTTCACGTGGACATCGACTGACCAACTCCCTCGACACAGACGCTTGAATTGGATGGATGCCAAGTAGCGAGTCCCTTACGTAGCGAGCGTCGGTAGTTCTATCGCAATCTCAGCCTCTACACCCTTGTGTTCTTCAACGTCTGGGGTCCTCTGTCTATACGTCCAGTATGTAGCCTTATTGTCAGGAACAGCTACTAGAGCTTACTAAGCCTGCCAAGAGGACGCATACAACTCTCGCGCCTCTCGCATGAGAGTCCCATCCTCCTCTCATGCTTCGAGTCCTGTATAACCTAGAGGTCTAGGGATACCTAATACTATTGAGACCCTTAACTGTTACTCTCTGCCTATCGCCTTAGGCCGTCCCTAACACTTATGTGCACGGTTCTCTGTCTTCTGAACTCTTATGACGCTGCGTACCTACCCATAGGCTCGCCATGAGTTCCTCTCAGTGCCCGTCCCATTGTGAAATATGTCTCAAGTCTACGTCTCTACCGAGTCAACCGAAATTATATTGCAGTCTTAGGCCAGGAAGCTTGCGGAGGTCAAGTCGTAGGGCAGACTTCGCAGGTGACCAGGGAAGAAAGATCCTAAGACCAAGAAGGAGGCAAGTAGGGCAGAGGACAATTATTTTCATCGCATGGGTATAGAGCTTTGGGACCGGGAAGAGGCCTACAGAGACCGCCACTCGCTCAAGGAGACGGCACCATATATGGAGGGTTAATCCGCCGACGCCGGACAGCTCCCACGTAGAGGCCGCGTGCGAGTCTCCCTTGTTGTAGCAAATCGCCGCATCGAACCGATCCTGATGTTGTCGAGTTCAACTCAGATGCTAGCGCCAAGACGAGGCTCGCCGGAGTCATTCACAGTGCCCTGTCGAAGAGCATCTGATCCAACCCGTGACCTTGAGATTTTCTGCCGCACCAGAATTCACTTGTTGATATCTTGCACTTTTCAAATATCTCCCAACAATCTTGACGGGGACATCCGCTTCTTGGCCGATACGTGCAATAGCCACAAATCCGGTTTCATAGTTAATGGGTCCATCGAAGGATAGATTGTCTTGTAGTCCGACGGGAAAAACCACTCGCAACGAGAAAGGTTTCGCTCACCTTCAACCCACCGCAAAGTTAATGTGGATGGTTCGAGGAGCAGAGTTTTTGTTTCTTCAGAGGTTCGATCCTGCCGGGGCCGAATTTTTGACACTCGGACGATGTGCGTGTGGAAGTGTGTCTGTGGAGGGCGGGTGCTGCAATGATCACGTCTCATCATCACCACTGTAGGTCAGCTACTCCCAGCGACACTCTTCTTTCTCATCCTTGTTCATCTGCCATCAGCGAAAATTCATGGAGACGTCCAGTTGCGTATGAGAGAATCTTGCTGTGCCGGCCAGTCGATTATCCAGCAGTGGCTTCAGGCCTTCATTGTTTCACTTTTTTGAGCAACCCCTTCAATCGTCTTCCCGACAAGTTTGTGTTCAAAACCACTTTGGCCCTGTTCATCAGCCCTTTTAGAGCTGTCTCTTCGGTACTCTCATGGATGTAGCAGAGTGGCAGATTCAGATATCTAGCAGATGTGGAATACCCACATGGATCCAAACCGCACCTGGCTCCCAGAATACCCATACAACTAACTGCCTCCATCGGTCATCATCTTGTTCTTTTCGAGACAGTAGGAGAAGTCACAATCGACCCAACTTTGAAGTCGGGCCTGGAAGCAGACCTGTAGGGGGGCTTTCAAAGAGGCAAGTTTGCCGACTTTGGTCCGAAGCTCGTGGGAATTTTGAAGCAACTCGACACCGAAGCACCATCAACAGCACCAACGCGGACGCGCCCTCGGTGCCACTACGTCGAATTACTACTCTAAAAATCGAAAAACCGATATAATGCCTCCTCGAATATCATCCTCCGCAGCATCTTTCACCTTGCCCTCGACACCCACGATCCAGACACACTGCAAGTCCTGCTTTCAGCGGTCCTTCTCCTCCAGTCCCTCCCTTTCGCAGACCAAGCTCCGGGAGCAATTCTGGGCCTGGCTGAACGGGCCCGGTGAAAACTTTCGGTATCCTTTACCAGCTTCGACGAACTACCTCTCGGCGTACGACCGGCGAGGTAATCTCCTTCGCGGGAAAGATCAAGAACAAAATGTCCAAGGCGAGTCATCAAAAGAGAAATCACCGGACGATCCCATGACCGCAGACGAAGAAGCTCTAGAAGCCGCCGCAACAGAGACAGACCGACAGGGGCAGGGATACACGCTGCCCAAGGAGTCGTTAGATGACTTACGACCTTTCCCTCTCAACAAGAATTTCGTGAGTCAGAGTATCCTATCGGAGGAGCTGAGGAACGAAATATGGGAGAGGGTCCAGCAACACGGAAAGTCTGTTAGGCAAGTGAGCATGGAGATGGGAGTCGACATGAGGAGGGTCGCCGCTGTGGTGAGGTTGACCGAGGTCGAGAGGAGAATGAAGGCCGAGGTAAGATTGTCCATCTTCCTCTCTCATACACTTTTCGACATGTTTTCCTGTGATGAACATCCAAAATCGATTAGTCTTCCAGACTTCCAAGCATGGTGATTTACAAATTCAAATTACAACTCTCTGAGAAATCCGAGACTCCGAGGATGCGCTCTGTCAGCTTCGATCCCTCGTAACGACAGCTAACGCAGTTGACGCTCTAGGGAAAGCCACTCGCTATTCCCTATGCCCGCGCCGTCCATGGCATGGTTCCTCTGACGACCCTCAACCCACACACTCGCCTGCCTTCCGAACCCCACGAATCGATAAACGACCTTGAGCAACACCCCCTGACCTTCCCCCAGCTCTTCTACCCGACGTCGGAATCCCGCGCCTTCAATCGAACAGACGCCGGCCGTGTCTTCTCCGGCGCACCACGCCTCCCGGACGACCAGGAAACAGCAATCGCCGAGGGCACACACGAGGCCTGGCGGGACAACAGGACCGAGATCATCGGGCGGTTAGGCAGTACCAGACCAGTGCTAAAACCGGCTGATTCGAGAATCCCTCACCCTCATCTCATCGCGTTCGAGAAAGATAAGTTGGACCGCAGTCTCACTCCTCTGGAACGCCGAGCGCGCCATCGCGAGAGGTTACAACGAGACGAAGAGAAGAGACAAGCTCTGAAGGCGCGCCAGAGGGGAGAAGACGAAGCCAAGAAAACGCGGGTTGATCTCGGAAGATGGCAACTCGTCGTCACCGAGGTGCAGAGCACGAGGCAAGGTGTGGGTATCGATGGACGGGGAAGTGGCAAAGGGGCCGTAGGGCAGAGGTATGGCGTTCCTAGTCAAGAGAGGAAGAAGGGGAGGGTCAAGATACCTACGAAGGTGGACGTCTAGTCGGCCGGTGGACGAGTGAGTTGCGTTGGTCTGTGGATCTGCTCGGGCTATCCTCTGCTGTCCAGGATTTTGTGCTGAGATTCTGAGCCACTGGCGGATGTCTCGCCTGCGTATGAAGACGTCCATGTTCCAAGCTCGTCGCGGCGCTTGTACACTTGTCGCCCTTGAGAGGACGTACCATGGACGGAGGACCGATGGCGTGCCTGCCGGTTTAACCCGGGCTTAGAAATGTACAACACTGTCGTCTTGAAATGTTCTTTGCTCTTCGCTCCAAGTTTGAGGTGCATGCAGCGCAGTTCTGAACACCTCAACTCCTAATCGACAAGAGCAAGGTACACAGCAGATTACCAGAGTCACGTGAAATCCCTGGTGGCTGTCGATGTGACTACGGTACAGTATAGGGAAGTGCTGCGTCACTACGGTGTCGCATTCGCACTGTTCCGATCAGCTCTCTCGAAGCTCTCAACAGCTGAACATCCATCGCCACTTTCACTCACAGCCTGGGACGCAGCTGAGATGGTTATTTGCCTGTGCGCTTGTTGACCACGTCGTGTTTCGCCTAGAAGATGGCTCAGCTACTCCAGCTGATCCAATCACGCGCCGTATTGCTGTTCTCGTCACCTTCGCATCCTGCTGCTCGTCGTCCGTGATCGGCAACTTACAGCCAGCCACCGCCAACAAAGAGCTCGTCGTTCCCTGGCAGCAGCTTTTGTGTTTGGACATCTTGATTGAATCTTGCTTCGCCTCCAGCCGCCCAGCAGCGACACATTCCCGTTTTCAGACCTCCTCGTGATGGCATTCATGTGGACCTCATGGCCAGCCATCCTTTGCGCACTGGCTGGCACTTTTGTATGGTCGCCATTGGAAATGGGCTGCCCTTGGATGTTTTTCAAGTCCGAGTTGGAAAACTTTCGCACCAAACTCTCTGCTGGCTTTCCTCTCACGAACTCAGAAGCCTCAGTGTCACGCCTTGGAGGAAATGAAGATGCTCCTGACATCACGATTGCTGGCATGCACCGCCATTGCCGCTGTGGCTCATCTGCAAGTCGCAACAGCCAAATATACTTTACAAGAAGATTATAGCGGGCTCGACTTCTTCAGCAAATTCCAGTTCGTCACCGTACGGAGTCTCTACCCTGGGATCGCCATTCTCCATCGAGATACATACTAACGAACAACGAGCGTGCAGGTCGACGACCCCACCCATGGTTTTGTCGAGTACGCGGCACGACGCTATCCATTGAACGCTACATTACTGACAGCTACTCCTCCAGTTATGTCGATGAAGCCGAGGCTCGCAGACTGGGCTTGATCTGGGAGACCGACAACCTTGTCTACATCGGGGTCGACCACAGTAACATCATCGGTGCATGGTGTCGTCGCGGTCGCCCCAGTGTCCGCCTGGAAAGCAGAGCCTCCTATACGCATGGCCTGATTATCGGCTCGTTCTGGCACATGCCCGGAGGAGACTGCGGCACGTGGCCCGCCTTGTGAGAGTTTCCCGACAGTTTTGCTAATGGTAGACGGCTGATATGATGGAACCGATTTCAAGCTGGACTTATGGCCCGAATTGGCCCAACAGCGGGGAGATTGACATTGTCGAGGGCGTGCACAGGCAGGCCACGAATGCCATGGCGCTTCACACCTCGACCAACTGCACCGTGGATGGAACCCAGTCCGGCACGTGGGTCCATCACGACTGTTCGCCCGCGACGCCCGACAACGCCGGCTGCGGCGTGCAGAGCAATACCCCCAATTCATTCGGCACGGCGTTCAACGCCAATCGAGGAGGCGTCTATGCTACGCTGTGGACTTCCTCCGGCATCCAGATCTGGTTCTTCCCGCGGGATAGAATTCCCCATGACATTAACGTGGGCAATCCGAAGCCTGAAACCTGGGGCATCCCGGAGGCGAATTATTCGAAACCATGTGACTTTGACGCGCACTTTCAACAGCACTGGATTGTAAGGGCACTAGATTCTCGCCGTCATTTCCGAATTTTCTTCTGATTCCTACCACACAGACTTTGAACGTGGCCTTTTGCGGAGACTGGGCCGGCAGTGTCTGGAGCTCGTCGGGATGGTAGGTGTCCTTCTGCTTCCTGCCTTCCACCTCTCCCCGTTTGTCAGACGCGTCACTGCGAACTGCGCGCCGTGGGCCGAAAACTGTGCTCTACATGTGGCTGGCATTCTACATTCTACATTCTACATTCTATAATCCAGAAACCACGCTGACATGTCTGATGTGTTCCTTGTCCGCCCCGTAGCTCCTCCCCGCAATGGCCATCGTGTAACTGCTACGTGGCCATGAATCCAGCGTCCTTTATCAACACGTTCTGGCTGGTCGAATCAATCAAGGTGTATCAGTATCAGGACCGGGGGGGCCACCATGGGGCCGAGCCGGCATCGGAAGGCTTGACCTTGCAGACTCAAGCGGGTGCGGGTGCGGGTGCGGGTGCAGATTATTGATGGAGGGGACAGGGCAGGCCAGGATAGGATGGGACAGGATGGGCAGGACAGGATAGGACAGGACAGGGCAAGCCAGGTCAAAAGTCGGTACCGTTTGTTCGCGGCTCCGTCGTAGGTCTACATTCGGAGTATATGAAACGTTGAGCTTTCTTCGATCGATGGCTGGACCGACCGTCGCCTGCATGCGCGAGTGAGCCCCGAATGAGTCGCGAGTGAGTCGTGAATGGTATATCGCGAATGGTAATCCGTATATTGTGTGTGATGTCTATGTCTATGTCTATGTCTGTGTCTACGCTTACACTTGGTTGGTGATCCATCTTCAAACCATTTGTATGTATGTACCGGAGTATTTCGATGAAGGACACACGAACACCATCTTCAATCCATTTATATGTATGTATGTATCGTTATGAAGGACAATGTGACCAAGAACACATCCTCAAGCACCTTTGTACATATCTCAATCAAGGACAACACGGACACGAACACGAAGCACGAATGAAGAGTTGAGTTTTGTGAAGAATTTGTCATTCGCTACCACTTTAGTGGTTTACACAATTTGTACGTACGTATGTATGTATGTACATATGAGAACGCCACAGTATCTCAAAGCCGTCCTTCGATGGCGTGGGGGCGTCGACACGGTCTCCGGACGCCAGGTGTCGGACCGGATGACGAGATCTTGTAGTAATCTACTCTCTTCGGATTACTATCTCTTCGGATCCTGGACAGAGTATAGCATGCACATTCCATAGGCGCAGGGCCTCGCAGGGCCTCGTAGGACGGCTCGAGACCTGTCTTGGAAACGGTCCGCATCCGGTACGCCATCCTGAGTCCTGGATAAGACTGGTAATTCGAGACAAAGGTCGTCTACTCCGTCTGGTCTGGCGGATTTGGGCCCTCGGGAGCTCGTTCCCGCACTGCTGTGTGCACATGCTGATGATGATGCTGACCTGAGCCGTTGCGTTGAACTTATAGGACGTGGGAACGCGTTGCAAGTCTCAAGTCTCAGAAGTCAAGTCTTCAGGTCCCAGCTGCATCAAGTCTTCCCGTACTCGGGTATTTGGGTGGTTCCTTCCCTGGCCTGCCCTGGTCTGTCGCTTCGGCTTGAGGTACAACTCTTCCAAGCGTACGCCCTGAGCATGAGCGTATGTGAAGTCTGCGCCCGTCCATTTTTCTCCTCGTCACGTCAGACTGCTTCGCTTAGGGCTCCTAGCGGCGTACATGTTGGGTTATCTGGTCTGGAACCACCGCAAATCATTCCGCAACCTTGTCCCGTCGTGAAAAGTAGGAAACACGTACTGGGACGGATCCTGATCGTATTGCCAGATAAAGTATTCCATCGTGTTCACACCTCTTCAAAGTACTTCTCATTGTCGCCGCCGGTCCTTGATCCCTTGGGTTTCGCAAGCAACTTCTTCCGGCTCAGCTTGCCACATAACGCGGCCTTGATGCTCGGCAGCGGATCCCTCGCCTCCGGCAACACCAGAAACAGGAACAGAATCGCCACTCCAGCGGTCGCGGGCAGGAAGCTGTAGAAGTAATGTGCCGCAGGGGCGAAATCGTGCGGTAAGGAGAAGATCGCGCAGGCGAGAGCAAAAGGAGCGTATATCAACGCCGTGATGGTCAGGATGCGAGAGTAATCTGCTTGGCGGGCGGATTCTGCGTTGATGGACGTGAGAGAGACGGTGTCTTGGATTTGGCTGACGGCAAGGATGTGCTGAGTCCGCGAGTCGCACTCGGCGCGGTAGTGGTGGAGGTCGATCAACAATGAGCGGTAATCTTCATTTAGTTCGGAATCGGAGGACAAATACGTCTTGATGCGCGTGAGGATGGGTTTGTAGCGGGAGAGCATGGAGTCTAGGTGGATGATTTTGTCGAGGGTCCTTTTCGTCTTGTTTGGATCTACTGTCAGGGATGTGGATATTATTTGTGGTTCGAGCGTGGAGCGGATGTACTCGAAGAAGTTTGTGCATTCGCTGGCGGCAATCTGAAAGGCCGGCCGCATGATTTTGAGAATGTTGCCTTCTGCTGGACTGAGCTGGCCGTCTCGGGCTAGGATCTGCCAGTGGCGACAGAGGTCGTCAAACGGATTGGGACACATGCGCTTGGTTCCACATGCGCGATAGTCATGTTCGGATCTGTTTGTGGGCGGTCTTTGTTCCAAGAAGTCGAGATAGCCGCCTTGAAAACCCGTTACATCGAGGCGTTGACTGGGAGCGTAGGTCCCGTATGACTCGGCTCCTAAGGTGAAGAAGGAGATGGGCGGATCGACGAGGACGACACAGAGCCAGGGGTCGATTGTCTTCTTCATGTAGAACGATATCTTCCGACGGGCAACTGCGACTTTCTGTCTCCCGTGCCTTGAACATACTTCCACCCGCCTCCGGTAGTTTCCTTTGCAGTAGAGCTTTTCAGTGTCGACGTCCTTGCCGCAGTTTGCCGTCATGAATACGCAGGGATATTCGATACTGAAGAAGTTTTTCTGTTGCCGGAGGTTCTGTGACGCGAGTGGTGATCCCGTGTGGCCGTCCCCGGCGCCGCCTGTGGCCGTATCACTTATGTGTGAGGCAAAAAATGCCGGCTCGATATTGAGCAGACTACCGAGCGTATCGACCATCTCCGGATTGACATTGTTGACCATGACGATCCTCCCCTGGACACCCCGTCCTGACCCCGTACCTGCCGATGTGGGCGGCGTTTCTGGCGATCTTCGCGTCCACTCTTTCAGTAGCACTCTCAGCTTTGAAGTGTCTGTCAGGTCTGATGTTCTGAAGCTGGATATGCCGAATTCAAGGAGTATGGCTGCTGCTCGTTGAGGCAGTTGCGGTGATGCCATCCGACTTGCATCAATACCCCATTGTAGAAATTCGTCCAATCCAGCGAGATTGTGAAACCCATGGCTCCGGAGGAAGCATACATAATCTGTGTAGGTCCAGTGCGTCGGATCTGGTGGCGCCATAGTACAGGTGTTGCAACCGTAGACCTGGTTGTCAGGAAACATTACAGCAGGGGCCGCCCAGGATATGTATTGGAACAAGGGCTCAAAAGCTGCGAGCAAAGAGTTTGCTGGAAGACAAAAGATAGAGAGTTGACATGTGTGGCGACTGGCAGACCCGGCTCAAGAGATTATGCATAAGCTTGAAACAGGTTCTTTGATGGATTGCAGCACAATGTTGGCCCTACAATAATATAGACGGCTGGGAGCATCGTGAGCCTTCTGGGGATGACAGCTCATCATTGGTTCGCCTGAACAGGGCTGGTATTTTTAGGTTTGTAGGAGCGAGAGAGCTATTGGCAAATTCCGCCAGTCTCCAGTGTGTCGTGGTAGGATGCAAACAGGTCGCAGGCTTGATCTCGACAATTCGCGGATTGATAGTTTGCGCTACGATCACTCCAGCTATGCTCGGTGCGGCAGCAGGTGCTCGACATGCAGTCTGCGATAGCTCGGCTCGGTATGGAGTACTCCGTACTTCGTCGAGCTTGCCCAATGCGCAGGGGTGCCGGCCGCATACCAGTCACCTGAGGGTGGCATCCTTCGTTGGCGGGAAGGTCCCGCAGCTTGTGCTGCATGGCGAGGAACCGATGCGAACCTCGCTTGACCAGAGCTCGACGGGGTTGGCTGAGGGCCGCATGGGTGGCAGAAATAGAGAGGTGGGTCAAGGATGCGAGAGAAGCTTGTGGGGGAGTCTGATTCCCAGCCACCAAGACATTGTCCCAAACACTGTTTGGCCGAGATACGAAGATGTCGCCATCGTCTGGTCCAATACGGAAAGCATGCGGCTGCACATGCAACTGAGCCTCGTATCATGCGAATCTGGAGCTGGGAGGCACGCGAGAGGGAGAGCAGCTGTCTGTGAATACTTGTACCGATTGAGTTTCGTGGGCCTTGCCCAAACAAGCAGTGGCCCGTGCGCGCTCTGCCAAGCCTTTACTCTCGCTCATGTTTGTCGCGTTTAGACTCGCCGCCGACGAAAGGATCGCATTTACTAGTCTGATGTACTACTCCGATGACGACTCACACTGATGATCCCGAGGCTGCCGCTCGTGCCACTCTTGCCCTCCTCGAGACCAGGCTCCATCGCGTGGAGTTTCTGCTCAGTGGTGCGAGTAACAACGATGGAGTTCCGCCTGCAATTGCGACTCCACGCTCAGGCAGCGAGACACTAAGGGCAAGATTGGATGCTCTCGAGGCTGGAGTTGCAAAACTGAAGAGACTGGCTGGGACTCCAGGGACGGTAATACGAGATATTGAACGTTTGGGTGAGAGACGTGGAGGGATGTCACCGCGTCATATGCCCGTTCTGACTAGGTTTTCCAGCATCCACATTCCCAGATCTCTTTGCTCCCACTGTCCCAACACACAACGGTGTAAAGTCGGAAGAGCTGAGCACACTCGCTTCGATCGTCCTTGCCCATGCTTCGCTATATCCCGAAACCGCCTCCAGATTGTCCTCGTTGCAGACGCTGCACGTCCCACCAGCAGAGCAAAGTTCCGAACTGGTATCGTTTGTGCCCAGGCTTAGGCAGCTAGATCGAGAGGAGCAACGATTACAAGACGAGGCTCGGGAGCTGCGAGAGCGCAGTGCCAGATGCCTAGAATGGTGGGTCAAGGTGGGAGTAGTAGGAATGGGCAACGTATGGCAAGACTGGGAAAAACGCATGGCAGACGTGGAGAGACATCTCATACGTTGGGAACGACGAGCAAAGGAAGAGCAAGGATACCTGTGAGAATGACCAAACTTGCACCAGGCCGCCACCACAGCGTGCATCTCAGCTGTCGAGATTCCTTGGACCCTTAGCACGGCAACACTTGGATCCGAGTAGACTCGGGAAAATCACATACGTCTAATAGTCATCTGACTCTGTGAAGATGTGCTCGAGCCTCTACATGCGCGAGAACGTCGCAGGCTGTCGGCTCGTGGGAGCGAGCCACAAGGCACCCTTGATTCGATGGCAGCTGCCTGACCTATGCACCTCTTGCCCTTCAGCCCTGGGTGGTTCCAGCAAATGGTCAATGGAAGAAAATGCCGCTTGGACATCGCTACGAGCACAGAGTACGGAGTACACTGTTCCGTACTCTCGCAGGCAAGGTGGCGTGTTCCTCGACGACGTCGGCGATGAAAGAGCAGCTGCACGGTATGCAACCACTTCCGGGTGTGGCTGAGTGATCGCTTCGCAGGCCCAAGACCCATTCGAGGAAGCTGCGTGTGGCGGTGCGATCAACGCATCTGTGGAGGTGTTAGGATTGGTCGAGAACAATGGGATCAGTAGCCGTCAGGGGTAAAGGCCAATGGAGGCGGGCCAGTGGGTCAGGGACAGGCTGGTCACCCCCAGTTTCATCTCAAAAGAAATGCGAACGGAGAAAAGGACATCCGGGTATCATAGCCAGACTAGCCATCACTCTGAGGCTCTTCATGGCGCCGAAAGTGGAATTCATGATGACCGAAGAGATGAGCACAGCCTGCAAACATGTCGACTTGGTTCGGCATTTCTCTGCACGTCAGATTCTTTATTTACCAGAAAGAGTGTGCCACAAAGCGCTTGTGCCCGCCGAGCGCGTGGCCAGTGCAACTTGCGCCCTAACCATGTAGCCAACCGTGGTCCGAGGAGGCAAGGTGAAGTACTCAAGCTAAAAAAGAGGCGTTGGTTAGCAGGTCAGTAGTCGAGCAAATCCAGACGCGCACCGGGGACGCGACGGGCAGGGATAATAGGCGGCGGTCAGCAGCGTAGAAGACGGCAGTCAATCAGCTGCGCCTGTGGGAATTGCTCCGGACGCAGCTGCTCTTGGAAAAATTGAAAATCTCGAGACGCAGGCAAAGACCCAACTTGGTTCGATCAGCAAGGGCGGGGGCCAGCCCCACAAGACCCAAGTGAAACGTGTTGCAGTTGCAAGGCTCCCTGAAGCTCCCTGAAGGCTTGTGTCTTACCCGAAAGGTACAGGGCTTCCCTAGCTAGGCGGCGTCCCGCAGGCATTCCCCTTGCGTTGGGGCCCTTCCACCCACCGCCGCACCACGCCAGTCTTTCCCTCCCTCCTGAAGTCGATTCCTCGCTCCTCAAACACCAACGACCTTCTTTTCAACCACCACCACCAGGCCAACTTTCAACCGACACTCGTTCAGGCAACAATTTACAATCATCCGACACTTGCTTCCCCAGGCACACTTTTCCCTCAGATTATTCCATTCTTTGTCGATCATTAAAGCTGCTCTTTCACAGACCGTCGTCATTCTCCAATCGTTAGCCACCTTCTGTTCCTTTTCTTAGCCGCCAGTGACAAGATATTCGCCTCCCACAGCCTCTCGATTGATCGGCAAGTGTGTTGTTTGCCTCGTCTAGCCTTCGATCGACCCTCCATCCGGCACACGCCATAACAGAGGAACGCTCCGACACGGCCACATTCACGCTACGCGCACGAACCCTCAAGTTTGGGGTCATCTGCGCCCAGATCAAGTCCTTCCAGCCCACGACTGGACTTCGACGTCGCTCAATCCCCAACCTCGACGCTCAGCGGCCTAATAACCGCGTGACTCAATCACTCGGTCGACGTTGAGCTAGTCTTTCGAAGAATCACCGCAACAAAGAACCTCGAGGCCTTTATTTGACCCTTCATGCCCCCATACGGATCACTGCACTCACCCTCGCTCAAGAAAACCAACATGCTGGAAGCACGAAGAGGAGGTCGAGTTGACTTTGGCTACATTATCGGAGACCCATTCGCGCTGGCCACAATCTCGATTGCACTGGTAAGGGCACTCTAGCTTTGACAACGCGCCGGACAAGCCGACTGACAAAGGGATGCAGCTAGCTTGGTTGATTGCATTCGTGTCCTCAGTCATTGCCGATATCCAGGATCCCTTTCCAAAATATGCCTGGTGGACGGTCGCCTACATGCTCTGCTGCATTGTCGGCATCACGGCTGTGTTTGCAACCAACTCGACTCAGACCTACAGCATTGCGGTATGCCTAGTCAGAAACCCCGAGTGATTTCCTGCTAACAAGGATAGATTGTTGGATACCTCGCTGCTGGTCTGGTGATGACAACGTCTGCAGTCAACTCCCTTGTTTATCAACCAGAAGGCGCCATGGAGGCGGCCGCCGCAGGCCACATCTTGCTCTCCATGGTTACGGTGAGTGTCGTCCGCGCTAAATCGGCCTCACTCGCGCTGACTGAGCAGATTGTATGGATCTTCTATTTTGGCTCCGCTCCGGCAGCGGCCCATCGCGAGTTCATCGACCAATTCGCCCTGCACAAAGAAGCACGCCAGTCATTCCGTGGTGCGCCGCAAAATATGACCAATGTCTACGATCGTCCGCAAACCACTACTTCTACTCAACCGCCTCAGATGTACACATCTGCCCAGTTGAGCGGCTTTGAGACATCCTCTCCTGTTTCAGGCTACCCTGGCGGACCTGCAGGAGCGGCGGCTCGGTCCTCCTCACAACCCATGCCAAACCCGAGCAGCTCCGCCGCACCAGCACCCGAAGTCGCTCCACCTACTGAATATCCCTACCGCGCTAAAGCCATTTACAGTTACGAGGCAAATCCGGATGATGCGAATGAGATCAGCTTCAGCAAACATGAAGTTCTCGAAGTCTCCGATGTAAGCGGCCGGTGGTGGCAGGCTAAGAAAGAAAACGGCGAAACAGGCATTGCGCCCAGCAATTATCTGATCCTGTTATGAGCGGTCCAGGAGGAGGATTTGAGCAGATTTCGAAGAGATTGTGGGTGACAACTCGACGTTACCCTAATGACCGGCTTTGACGACATTTTGTTATTTTCTCTTCTGTGCACATGATTTTCTGGCTGGGCTGAGGCGGTGACGCGACGCCCGGACGCCACTGAGGTTGTGCGATGCGAAGCCGCCTCCGACAGATCCTAACTGCGCCCAAGCGCAGGACTGTGATCCCGGTTCAGGCAACTTTTGTGACTTGCTATTTAACTTGGCTACGAACGGTACGGATTGGGGATGTCCGCAAGGACCTGTACAGGCGTTACGGCGCGAGCCAGGACGAGGCTGAGCGGTCTAAACGACCATGGTCTAGGGCGATGGAAGCTCTTGGAGAGTTTGGACTGGGAGATTCCACCCTTGATCATCCGCCTTCCGCTCTAAGATCAGACCAGGACGACGACAAACAAGGAATATTGGTCGGGAGTAAACCGCTGGCTAGGATCGACATTGGAAACATGATTCTTTGTGTGTGCACATACACGGTGGTTGGCTGGCATGTGACCAAATATGGATGCTTATCATCACTTCCGAGTCTCAAGGCTTGGGGATGGACGCACTCTGGGAAAGCTGGAAATGAGAATGACATCGCTTGGATGTGTGGCTCCTGTTTCGAAAAAAAGCTGGGCTGAAATCAAAGTTCGAAGATGAGAAAGAGAACAACACTGTAGCACAAAAAACGCAAGCGTCTGGAAACTCGGAACCTCGAGAAAGGCACTGGTTTCGCCATATCCCCCTCCCGCCCCCCTCTCTGCTCAGCATCTGCTCGGCCTCACTTCCGGTGTCCTCATACCCGGCCTAGTTGAGTTTTACGATGCGATTATGATGTGCGTGAAGCAGTACGAGTTTGTGATGCAAGTCTGTCATCAGATTTGCGGTGCAATGTATCTTGCTGGAAGGCCCAACTTGGTGATGGCGTGCAAAGACGGATAGGCGCAACCTGGGGGCCAGCCAGTCTTGACTCGAATATCATGAGGATAAAATCATTCACAGCAATACTGTAATTAGCACACGCTTGAACTGTTCGGAAATGATCACGCGGGAGGTGCAGGAAAATGTGGTATGAACAAAATGTACCCTTTTTTCTCTATTCAAACAACCTGAGGTATCTCGTTTCGCTTTGACTGAAGGATTCACAAGACTAGTATGAAACACAGAGAACAACTCATTATCGGGGCGGCTCTGGCATCGCTAAAGGTGTTTGAAGCGGCGCGCCCCGGCCAGCATAAGCTCCTGGATTGTAACTCGTGTCATAAGCATGGATTCCCAGTCCACTGTGGTTCAGGGGGCTTGTAGGCGTCTGGGCAGGTAGATGGGCAATGTCGTGGTCGTGGTCGTTCTGCCGAACGGGTGCATAGGCGTCGTCCAAACTCGTCTTCTGATATGCATACTGCTGCCTGCCGCCGCCCGGCTGATCATCCAAGTCGTCGTCGTCATTCCGCATATTACTCGAAAAGTCGTCTTGGGTCTGAGCAGAAAAGTCATTCTTTCCACCCATGCCAGAGCTGCCGACTGGCAGATTCTCCGGCATCATCCCCGTTCTCTTGAATGTCATAACCGCTCGGAAAGAGATGAATGCGGTTGTAATGAAGAGGACCATCTCAAAGACCCCAAACACAATGATTGCTTCGGACAGCTTGCAACGGCCCGGGCTGCCATATTTGAAATTATCGCAGCCTGATTTGCCTTCGTTCTCTCCTTCTCCTTTGCCCGAGGAGACGTAGCTCGCCACGGCTGCCCAGGCTGACAGCCACAGGAGCACAGAGAAGGAGTCGAGCGAGGCGAAGGCGTAGACGTTGGCAAAGCGACGGGCGCGGGACCACATGGGGACCATTACTTGGTAGATCAGGATCGGTATCGTGAGCCAACACTGCATGGGGGTCTTGTGTCAGTGGCCTGCATTGACTGAACGGGCAGAAACACGTACGAGGGCAAAGTACCAGCCCACCCGTCCATCGGTCGAGCCCGGTCTCGTTAACAAGGCAATTGTGAGCACCCAGCAGAGGAAAAGTGTGCCCGCCTGGCCGAAGTGTATCAAGTGTTTGATCTTTCCGAAATGATCCAGCTGGAGCCTCATGTTGACTGCAGCGTGCAATGATGCGGTCGGCTGAGGGAGAAGAAAGGACGGATTTCAGCTGGTATATCCTGCCAGGCGCAGAAAGGCTGGCCGAGTGTTGCAATCGCTTTGCCTTGCCTGTCTGTGTCACCTTGGAGTGTCCACTCGAGAAACAGGCGGCAGAGGGTTTGTCTTCGCAGGACTAATAATATCACCCTTTGTGGAAGGAACGACTCGCCGAAGAGGAGTGAAGAGAAGGAACGATACTGTACTGGTGATCAAAGGAAAGAATGAAACCTGACTAGTTAATGCTAAGGCATGAGCTGAAGGCAGGAATACGGAATTCAAGACACAGCAGCGGGAAACTGAGACGCGAAAGTCCCTGAGGCTGAGAGCCGAGAGCGACGTGCGCGAGTGAGCGATTGCGGTGGCGCAGTTCTAGCCGTTCAGTCACGTCGGAGACTCGGTAAGGCTGAACACACAGTACGGAGTACCGGGTACATGTTCTCATTATTCCTTTGTTCTAAGTTCAGGGTCCATATCATGCGCCTGTTCGCGGCCTTGGTTCCAGTGCTCGTTGCTCACAAGAGAGACATTCATGTCGCAGGAAAGGCATGCGCACCATTGTGACTACTGCGTCGTCGCCTCGTGAAAGTTGGTTGAGTGACTGTGAAGGGAAGCCATTTCGTGCCATTCGACGGAAACAGTCACGGACAATACGATTTGAGAAGCACTTACTAACAGGAAGGCGATTGTGCTGCTTGCCTTCATATACTCATTGGTGAATTCCTGAGGCAAACGGACCCAATAGCCTTGTGCTACGTACGAGGCACGCGGATCAAAGAAAGGGGCTTCCCACTGCAGGTACAGAAGGGCCATGCAAGCAATGTTCGGCTCGGTGGAGAAGGAACAATGCAGGTTCCGGGCTAGCTGCACTGGGGAAGGCATCCATTTGGACATGCGAAAGGACGACGCCTGATCAACCCTTCGTGTTTGCCTCCAAATTATTTGCCCCAACTGTGTTTCTAGCAAGTGCCACGCTGTTAAGGTCCGTTAGCGTCGCCGGCGCTTGCCCTCATCGGGCTCGCGGCTGCATCTTTGTGATTGCCGATTCGTCACTTCCCCGTCACTAAAACGAGCCCACCGCAACTGCGCTTGGGAATTATTTTTCAAAAAGGCCCCTTCGCTTCGTTTCTGCTTTGTTTCTTCCTCCCATCAACCAAGTTCATCCGTCCACTGATCACAACCCGAGCTCTTCTTTGAACCATCTCTGAATCTAGGGCACCAAGCTACCCTTTCCACCCCTCCGTCAATTGATTCCCAAGGCAGCCGCTAGCTACCTGAGTCACGTTTCCCCTTCACAAGTCCCATCCCGTCACTTTTGAGTCAACAACAACTTGTGCCTCAGCCACAATGTCTTCTGCCGTGGACAACCTCGCCGAGAACCTCAAGAACGCCAGTGTCGAGGACACCTCCGCTGCCAACAACGAGGGCGTTCTTGCTTCTGCTGCCGAGGGTCGTCGTCTCTACATTGGGAATCTCGCTTATGCGACCACTGAGGCGGAACTCAAGCAGTTCTTCTCCGGTTACGATGTGTATGCGCCATCTTGTCATTTTGCGTCGATCTGTGGTACTGACCTGCTTGGATAGCGAGTCAACCTCGATTCCTGTCAACCCTCGTACCAACCGTCCCGTGGGCTATGCCTTCGTCGATCTGAAGACGTCCGAAGAGGCGGAAAAGGCCATCTCCAACCTGTCTGGTCAGGAGATCCTCGAGCGCAAAGTCTCGGTCCAGCTTGCGCGCAAGCCGGAGCACGGTTCTGGTGCCGAGGGCGCTGCAGAAGGGGCCGAGAACGCCGAGCAGAAGCGAGCCTCCGGACGCGGTCGTGGCCGTGGACGTGGCCGAGGTGGTCGTGGCCGTGGAGGCGCAAGAAACACCACCGTATGTCACCCTACCGACCGGACGCGGAGATTGGATGACTGACCAGATTTCAGGAGGGCGCCGCTCAGGAGACAACTGACCTTGCAGAGAACCCACTGCCTTTGACCGATGTCACTGCCGATGCGAACAAGGCCGCTCCTGCTTCCGACGCAAAGTCTCGCACTCCCCGTCCTCCCAAGCAACGTGGACCTCCCGAAGACGGCATCCCATCGACCACCAAGGTCATGGTCGCCAATCTGCCTTACGATCTTAGCGAGGAGAAGGTGCGGTTCCCAGACCAACTTCCACGGGTTCTTGCTAACATCCGCTATAGCTCAAGGAACTTTTCGCTGCCTACCAGCCCAGCTCCGCCAAGATCGCGCTGCGCCCCATCCCACGCTTCATGGTCAAGAAACTTGCCGCCCGCAACGAACCTCGCAAGGGTCGTGGCTTCGGCTTTGTCACTCTTGCTTCGGAGGAGATGCAGCAGAAGGCTGTGGAAGAGATGAACGGCAAACAAATCGAGGGCCGTGAAATCGCGGTCAAGGTCGCCATCGACAGCCCAGGAAAGGAAGACGGCGCCGAGGCCACGGAGAATGGTACCAATGGTACCACCGAGGAGGTGGCTGCCGCTTAAATCACGGCGTCAAGCACAACCAGTAACCCACCAGAGTTCAAGATGGAGACAACGGTATTCTTTTAGTGAGGCATACTCTTACAGGAAGGGGAAGGCTTGACTGCTGTTTCCACTCCTTGCAGAGTCGCCAAAGACTGAAGTATCGGAACGATAGTCAATGGGGTTGATGGACAGCCAGCCAATACGACACCATATCTTTCTTGCCCAGGTGGCTGTATCTCCCAATACACTAATAATATGCTTGCAAACATTTCCTGGCCGCAACTTTGTGAATCTCGACGGGATTGAGGTGGTGTCCTGTTGAGTCAGGTGTGACGCATCGGCAGCAGGGATCCAGGGATATGGACCAGGAGACTGAGGTTGAGAGGACTCGTAGGCTGTACCCGATGTGGCTCTTTGGCGAATGTGTCCTTCTGCAGCACTCTCGCACGAGAGTGCTTGCAGTCACCCGATCCCGCGAATCCGATTGCTTCTTCCCCAGCTCGGCCAGGCATGACCTGGGTTCTCGGAATACAGCGACTGACAAAAGCCCTAGCATTATGCAGCGACTGAGTTGAGTAAGATGCAGAGGACTAAGAATTCAACCACTGAAACGGGCAATACTTGCGCCGACGCTCATTGCTCGCTTCGCTGATTCCCGGTAGGGGACCGAAGTAACATTTCCCAGAATGTCGCTCGAACTTACGTGGCCGGGACAAAGTGGGCGACGAGGCTGACATAATGCCATCTGCAGGTTTGTCCTTGACGGTTGAGTGCAGATGATCGATGCGCCGTGTGAAGAAACGTGTCCAAAAGTTTGAGCCGGGCTGCGTGGTTTGTTCGATGGCGGTGATGCGACATTCATGCTGTCCTGTCGCTATTGTCGGAGACATCACGGCCTCGCACCTGGAGACAGAGACATTTTCCTCGGCGCGCTTCACAAGTGACCAGCTTCCATTTCATTTGCCAGTAAGCACGGGCTGAATTCCTGCCATACGCAGTCTTTGCAAAGTGGACCAGGTACTTACGAGGCGCTCATTCTATGCATTCAGCATGTCGTCACAGTGAACAGTATTTCAGCCACCAGACTTCTCCTCTCAGTGGTATGGCTTATCGATCTGCCTATTCTGTAACACCAACATGCGGCAGTGCGGTAGTGCGGCATCCGGACATCCAGTACCAACATCATCCAATTGCTCGACATGCTAGGACGAGACGAGTTTGAGCGATACGCACACTCCGGCTTGCGCGGAATCTGGCTTGCGTGTGCGTGGGCCGTGTGCATCGACGTTGCTCGCTCTCGCCCACGGCATGCTGGAAGTGTCGGTACAGAGCTCGACGACTATAAAGCGTCGGTATCGCTCTGAGAAGCCCAAGATGGACATCAACCACAGATCCAGGACCAGATCCACGCACAGTTGACTGTGTTTTGAAAGCTCTACATACGGTCACCTCCTCCTGTACCGATAACTGCTCGCTCGTAATCACCCAGCACACAAGCACACAGTTCCATCTCGCTCACGCCATCACGAAAATGGTGCATCCCGCGACAGCGCCGAAGGATGCTCCCAAGACATTCGACTTCATTGTCGTCGGGGGTGGCACCGCTGGATGCGTCGTTGCTGGTCGCTTGGCCGAGAACCCCAGGGTCTCTGTGCTGGTCATTGAGGCGGGTCCCAAGTACGTCCCTCTTCTCGCCTCGCCGGAGAACCGAAGTGATGACTGACTGGCTGGCTCAGCAACACCGACGAGATCCCCGAGATCTCGACCCCGGCTCGTGCCTTTGAATTGAGAGGCAGCAAGTACGATTGGGGCTACAAGTGAGTTCCCCAGCAGGTCTTGGACGGGGCGACCACTGACGCCAATGCAGGACCACCATGATCGACCGCCCCGATTATACCCGTGTCGAGAAGCCCAACACGCGCGGGAAGATGCTGGGAGGATCAAGCGGAGGAAACTACTTCACCTGGGTGCGAGGTAGCGCTGCCACATTCGACGACTGGGCCGAGTACGGCACCGACGAATGGAACTGGGAAAATACCAAGGACTACTTCAACAAGTCAGCCACCTACCACGACGACGAGGGCCTGTATCCCGCCGCCCTGGCGAAGATTGGCAACCAAGGCGGTCCGCTGCACATCTCGCACTCAGACCTCGTCCCGGAGATCAAGCCCTTCCGCGACGCGCTGGAGAAAGCCTGGGTCAATAAAGGCCAGGAGTTGACAACTGACGTGTACAGCGGCGTGCAGAAGGGTCTGTTCAAGTGCGTCAACAGCATCTACAAGGGCAGACGGTCCACGGCCGCCGTCTTCATCGAGGGCAAGGAGAACGTGACGCTCCTGTCGTCGACCATCTCCAAGAACCTGGTGCTCGAGAATGGCAAGGCGGTGGGCATCACCGTCATCGGGCCCGACAGCATGGAATACACCTTCAACGCCAAGTACGAGGTCGTCGTCTCGCAGGGTGTGTTTGAATCGCCCAAGTTGCTCATGCTCTCGGGCATCGGGCGCAAGGCGGACCTTGAAGCCTTGGGCATTAGAACGGTCGTCGACTCCCAGCACGTGGGCCAAAACCTGCTGGACCACCCCATCCTGTCGCACGTCTTCAAGATGAAGGACGGCTACGGCCTCGATAGCCACCTCCTCCGCGCCGGACCAGAGAAGGACGGTGCCGTTGCCGCGTACCGCAAGGACCGTACCGGCCCCTACAGCAGCGGATTGCTCGAGCTGGTTGCCTTCCCTCGCGCGGACGAGTGGTTCAACAACAGCAAAGAATACCGCGAGTATAAGGCCAAGAACGGCGGCGTCGACCCCTTCGGCCCGGGCGGCCAGCCGCATTTTGAGGTCGACTTTGTGCCCATGTTCTCCGACGCGTTCCAGTGGCAGTGAGTATTCCGTCAATTGCACCCCCTTCACATCCCATGTTCCCATACCTCATCTGTGGGACCCGAGCTGACGACATGTGTTCTGTCCAGCTTCCCCACCCCGCCGCAAGGCGACTATCTCACCGTGATCGTTGACCTCATGCGCCCTCTGTCCCGCAACGGCGAGGTGCGCCTCCAGTCCACCGACCCAGCCGAACAGCCGTACATCAACCTGAACTTCTTCTCGCACGACCTGGACCTGATTGCGCTGCGCGAGGGCGTCCGCATGATCGACGACATCGTCATGCACGGCGACGGCCTCAAGGACATCATCGAGGGAGACTATCCCTGGCCGATGCCGCGCAACAGCGACGAGGCCATGATACGGCAGATCCTCGAACGGTCGCAGACGGGCTTCCACCCGTGCGGGACGTTGAGGCTGGGGAAGAGCATCGACCAAGGCGTCGTGGATCCGAAGCTGCGCGTCTACGGCACCACTGGACTGAGAATCATCGACGCGTCCATCTTCCCCATCATTCCGGATTGTCGGATTCAGAGTGCGTTTTCCTCCCTGTCCTCCACCGGAGGCTCGTGCTCATACTGTCGGTGCTGACACACTCACAGATGACGTGTACATGGTCGCCGAGAAGGGCGCCGACTACATCAAGGCGGAATATCCAGAGCTGTTCACGCAGGCCGGCAAGGGCGAGTATGACGTGTAGGCTTAGAACGCGACTCGATCCGCGTGGGTTATATTACAGGGGTGGTTAAGGGGTGGGTTAAAGGGGTGGCTAAGGGACTGAGTGAATGAGTGAGTGACTGCTGGCTACTAGTTTGTTTAATCGAGCGGACGCCCGTCCCGCGCCTGAAGACGACGCAAGTTCTTTACTCGCAAACCTCGCATTTTTCAGAAGATGCCGTCGACGTTGCTGCCGTTGAAGAAGTAATACTGTACGTACACTCTTTCCTTGGCTGAGCGGGTTTCCCGAGCTATACATCCGTCCATCCGTCCGTACAATATATATATATGATATGCGATATGCGATATGCGATATACTATTTCGATTTCCTGATTTCTGATTTCTGATTACTTCCTTACCCAGTGATCTACATCCCAAGACGGATTTCCTTGATCGCACCCTACTGTACGTGCCCCCTTTTCTGGAGCGGCACGACGAAATGTTGTAGGCCTATGTACATAGTAGCCACGGGTTGTCTCCGGGGTCTCTGAATTGAGAACAGCCATGCAACTCCGGGCATCCACCTCCTGCCTGCCTGCCTGTAGTCGGGTCGCTAACAGACTGTTTTACCCAGGATGTATGTAGCATTTAGTAGCCGCCGATCTGCGTCATTAGTCAGTAACGCGTGGGTACAGATGTAGATCAACGACTGTGCGTGCGGAGGATTGAAGCCCGCGCTCAAACAGCGGATACTAACGACTGTGTGCGGAGGACTGAAGCCCGTCCGCGCTCCGTGTACAGGCAACTGAGGTGAGGGCTACGGGAGAAGGCGGACCCGGATAATTACGGTATGTACATAGCATGCCGGCTTGTTTTCAGCTCGTACGCTTCATAGGTGAGGTAGGTACATCTGAACTGCAGACTCTGCCGATAAGAGACTGTTAGTAAACCCCGTGGGCCAAGCTGGCTTGTACTGTATGTATACCTACTGTAATGCCTACCGTATTGGAATCGGGCTGAACAGGCTACCCCGGCCCGCCTTGCTGTTGGGTGATTGAATGACCGACTCATTGGCTTTGAGGTCGCCGTCTTTCTGTGCTCCAGATCGCTCATCTCCCAGCCTTGGCCAATTGAGAACAAAAGAACACAGAACACAGCCCACAGAGCACCAATACCAGCGACGTCAAAATGTAACCGCTTGTTCTCCTGCCCATGCCGTGCCGTGCCGTGCCGCGTGCTTTCAACAGAGCCCCGTTCCATCAGCCGAACCGGGTGGTGTTGTTCGGGAATGCGTCCACCAACGGGTCGAACGAATCATTCCCGTACGCGTCTCCGCCGTAGTTGAGGTATCCATTCACATACTGGTTGACTGTGAGTCAGCATTTCGACATCCCATTTTCGCGGGAATCCACGCGTTTCGGTCGCGGAGTGTTTAAAAATCGGCATAGCCGCCGTCCGTGGAGGGCAGCAACTCACCGGTTGCGTGGGGAACTTGCTCAGAATCGAGCTGCTGTTCCCGAAGACCCAGACCGTCTGCATGCCCATGATCATGTGTTGGAGCTGCGTCGTCATCAGCCATCAGTCTGGACCAACCCCCAACGTAGACGTCTTCGGGTCTGGAGCAGGCACTCACAATGTGACAGTGCATCATCCACGCGCCGACATCATCTTCTGTAACGCGGATCCGCCACGCCCGCCAGCCGGACGTGTAGTTCTTCTGACCCGATGTGGCGTACCTGTACAAGATCGTGGTATCACGGGGGGCCGGTGTGTAGTTTTCAAAGTGTACTTCATTGGCCGTTGCATTGTAGGTGCCGTTTCTGTGAGATATCAGGACTCCGGACCTACACAGATGTGGAATAAAAGGGCATGGGGTGCTCAACGTAAGTCGTTGCAAGGTTCATGTCAAGAGGGAGTAGCGGTGCGAGCGAGATCAGAAACAGCATCCTCTCCACAGGATGGATGCGATGCTGTCGTTATGCGGGGGGGTTCCATGTCCAACTTCTCAACTAACCCTCGCAGCTCGGAGGTGGGAAGGATTTCAATTCGCCATCGGGAAAACTCACCCAGAACCCAGATCGAAATAATGCTTCCCATGAGCATGCATAGGATGGAAATCCCACCCGCCCGTCGGCCCGGAGTTGCTTAGCCAGACGATGTCGAGCACCTCGCCAGGTAGAGCAGGGAAGGCGTTGCTATATGGATCCCAGCCGCCATTCTGCAACGCGGCGGTATAATTCGGCGTTTGTCCAGTAGTGTAGAGCTGGACAAGGTAGGGGGCGCTGTTGTTAGATTCGCGTTGAACCGTCTGCCAGACTAGGTTGTTCTGTCTGCAGAAGCGTCAGCCCGTTTTGATGTGACAGGTTGGGGTCGAAGCGTACGCCCATTGCAATGTCCCATTAATCGTCCCGTTGACGAAGGCACCAACGCGGATGACCTGCTGCATAGTAATATAGATCGTTCGCGTCACCTCTGACAGCCTGGGGAACGGTTCAGCTGGGTTCAGCGCCTCGAGAGAGTACTCGGCCCAGCCGGTCACGTTGCGAGATAGGGTAATCGGTGGTGTTGTAGGCAGACTAGGCGGGAGGTTCGTGGAACGGTTGACAATGTCATAATGTAACAAAGCGTATCCGGAAACGTTGTTGGGTCTCTCTCGATTTTCGTATCGGACCCAAAAATCTGTTCTGTTGCCCGCTGCTGCGAGCTCAGTTCTCGTCTTTGCCCGGAGAAGGATACTGAATCGTTGCCCGCTGCCGAGCTGAACACGATCAGTACTCCACGGCTTGGTGTATGAACCGTCCGCCTCAATAATAGTCAAGTTCGAATGGTTTTCAATACCGATGGTGACGAGGGAGAGTGCTGTGGCGCTGATGAAGCGAACCCGATACACCCGCCCAGGGACGAGGCTGATGACATAGGGAGTGCACGACGCCTCAGAAGCGTTGCTGAACGAAGAATTCCCACTGAAGCCATTGATGGAGATGGCCTCCGCTTCACCAGACCACCGAAAGGGATTGGCAACAAGACCCTCCTCTATCGACGAGTCGTTCCTGGGAAAATAGTCTTGGATGAACAGTGATAGATCCTCGTCATAACTGTACGGTGGGGCCTTGTTTTGCGCTTCCCCGACGATAACAACACCTTGGGCAGTATTGGACTGGAATCCTACGTGGGAGTGATAGAAGAAAGAGCCGGCGTCCCCGATCTGCGGTGTGATGGAGTAATCGAAGAACTCACTCGGAGCGATAGGCCATTGCGAGACCGCAGGTGTCCCGTCTGAAAACGGCGAGGTCCTCTGTGACAAGCCATGCCAATGCTTATCCATACGTGCTTAGCTAACTTCCCACACGCCCCAGGTATCAATCCAGATATGCATGACGTACCACAGTAAGATTCTCATTCTCGATCCTGTTGTAGACTCTCACCCATGTTGTGTAATTCTCCCTGAGGAACAACTGTCGGGTGTTGGCATCCGACGCTCGGAAGACAACGAAGCGTAACGGGCGGGTTTGGGCTGAGAGGAGTACTCACAGGTGGGCCGGGGCTCGTGCCATTGAACACCACGGAGTATCTGGTTTGACAGTTGATGCTAATGTTTTGCGCCGTGGCAACAAGCACATAGTCTGGAAAGGCTTGCGGACCCGGCGCAATGGCAATTGTCACCGGCAACCAGAAGAGCAGGAGTTGAAGTACTGTGAGAAACATCCTGAATACAACTGATCAGACGCAGAATTCTCAGCGTAAGATCCACAGGAGATGCCGGACTGGATCGGCAGCGTGCTGGAATGATATTATCGAGGTCTTCTCCTCAGGCCCTGCTGTGTAGGAGTTCTATGGTGTAGGTTGGCGCAGGACCGGAAACATCCTGGCTCTAATAGGTAGTTCGAATACGATAGAGACAGTCGCCCGTGCATAAGTACTTGTCAGTGGACATGTACACCTACCTCGTTCCATGGTCCGTGGATCTGCAATCTGACGGTCAGGCCCCCACCAATGCCTGACCTGTTCGATACTGACAGGAGAGTATCTGACGCCGGGCCCAAAGGCATCCGCTGACTGCCGATGCGTACACAAGCAGCCCATCATGGCAGGTTAATGGAATTTCGGCAGTGAATGAGATGTACGGAGCAGAATTGGGTGGGTGAATGGATGCATGAAGAGAAATACGACGGGAAACGGTAGGCACGTGACCACCACGCGTGTGCTTCACAGCCAGTGTTTAGTGCCATTCACGTCTCTCAGGTCAAGGTCGTGTGCCCGCGGTGTTGTATCATGGAGATGTTCCTGTTGAAGAAACATGTCCTCGTCGTCATGTGCAGAGATTCTCGTACCAGAAACTTAGAGAGACCGTGTCCAGGGCGCATGATTTGGCAGTTCAGGTGGGTTGGTCGCTCCAAAATGCTCTCTGTAGACCATGATTGAAGTCGGATCTTCAACTTGCTTTGAGCATCATCGGATCCATATGGACAAGGTCACCAGATTCCAGGCGAGATAAAACGTGATCTGTCATCAGCTTGATCGATCCATTGCTGCTATGAATATGAGTATCTTTCAAGCTTCTGTGCGGTCGAGACAGTACGGGCTATCACACGCGACTGTTCCCAGATATTCGCTGGCGGCGGCGATCACGTCAACTCTCACGGGCCGGCGACCGCTCCGTGCGGTTTACCCAGGACTGGATACTGGGTAAACGTCCCTTCGGGGGTTGGGCTGCCCAGACGGGTGGCACGGGTGGCTTGAGCGCCCCTGAAAAAGAGGATCGGGCGTGGCCGGGGTCGCACTACAGCAAACTGGACCCTGAAACGAGGGCCCCGGTTGGCCCGTAACGGGACAATGGAGCCTGCAGATCCGCCTGGGTTGCCAAATTTCTATTCACCATCGATGCCAGATCCAATGCAGCCGAAACCCACACGTCCAGGCGCAGGCACAAATCAACGTCACCCAGGACTCAGCAGATCCCAAGGAACAGGAAGAATCGAGGTCAGCAGTGACCGACGGCGACGAGAGCGACTCTGGGCTCTCCACCTGCACCACCAACAACGCACACACTGGCACCTGGCTGCTGCCCACATCTCGCACATCGCTGCTGCCCACCGAGGTACCTCGTCCTGTGCCTCAATTCACCGTCTCTTCACTTGGCTTCGAACTTCAAATCCCCTTCACTCTCACCGATGATCTTGCCTTGAGCACCATACCGTCTACATCTATCATATCGTGCATATTCTTCAGTCTATCAGTCATCTTGCTACGATCACCTCGGCAGACACACACGCAAACGTCATAGCGTGCTTCTCCAACATTGCTGCCGCTTCTATCTTCACGAAACACTCCATTGTGTCTTCACGGCTCGACTTCACTTCCCTGTCGCAAGGTCTTCGCCTCCCGATTGTCCCGATGGCTGCCCGGTCTGCGTCTCCCACCCATGCCTTTGACCCCACGCCGGCACTCGAGCATGACCCAGACCATTATTCTCCTCTCACACAACCTCGAGCCATGGGTCCGTCGTTCGAATTTAAAGGCGTTCGTTTCTCAGATCCCCCCTCCTTGCCGATACAAGGTCGCCACTCGATAGCCACCGATGTCCCACTGCTTCCTCCTATACCGTCTGCGAGCCAGCTGCCCAGGCACTCCTTCCAAAAAGCAACCTCAACGCCTGCGGTGGACATCACTGCATACATGGAACAATGTAGGCTGTTGAACACGCAGCTCAGGCAGTCCCACGAGAGCGAGCGGAAAACGTGGGAAATAGAAAGATCCGCGCTCAAGGCGCGCATAGCAGAACTGGAACAAAAACTCAGTCGGACTCGAGAGCCCAAGAGACGGTCGAGCAATGATTCCTCCACGGCCAGTCTTCACTCCTTCAGATCGAATTCCCTGCCTGTTGCAGCCAATGGCAAGCCCCGCCAGCGCATCTCCCCGGAACCGACAATCACAGAGCCGCCTGTGTGGAAAGGACCGGAAATTACTCCTCCAGTGACAAGAGTCTTCAGCCACGACGAGGAAGGCAACCATCTGCCAAGCATTTCGGAAGACGATGCACTGCCGGCTCTATCCAAGGAGACGTCTCCATCGTCAGCCGCGCCAGAGAATGTCCCGGTTCCAATTGAACAGGTTGACAAGACACTCGACGGAATCACGCTCAAGTCAGCCGCGTTGACCTCTTCCTTTGACAAGGAGATCACCAGTCCACAGTTCGCTAGTCCCGCACGGTCTCCATCACCACTGCCCAGAAAGGAGGATCCTATGAGACTCGACGTGGGCACTCTGTTGTCTCCTCTGGATGACAAACTGAAGCGACACGCTGGCCATACGCCCATGGCTTTCGATGGCACCCTCTCCTCTGACTCTGCGAGTGCGATTTTAACACCGAAACAGGAGAAGCCTTTTGCTCCTGCTCCGACAACGCGTCCACCCCTGCGGCCATCCGAGGACTCCGACTCATATTTCTCATTCTCCTCTGCGAGGGACGAGAGCAGGAAGGAGAACCATCAAGAGGAGCCGCAGCCGGTCTACGAAGCGCACGATGACCCTGCCTTGAAGGGACCTCTGATGCTTGACCCAAATGCCAAGACCGTAGAATCGGCCAGTTTCCTTAACTCGCTTGACGCTAGGCTCATCGAAGAGAAAAGGCAGCAGGAGAGAGCAGAGTCGAAGTTGGCCGGGTCCCAGGAGGAGCCCAAAACAAACGATCAACAGGGAGAATCGTCTACTACTGACGACGAGATGCCCCGGTTGAGAATGAAGAACAGCATGAATTTCGGCAGTGCGTGGGGTGGTCATGACCCTGGGCGCATGCTATAAGTTCACAAAGGCATCTGTTTCCTTTTCTTGGCGACCATTGCGCAGGAGTGAGATTTGACTTTATGCCAGCGAGGAGGTTGAAAAAGCATGGTGGCGCTTGGACATAAAAGCTCTCTGAAGGGTATACCCGAAAAGCATTGCGGAGACACATTTATGCGCCCGGTCGAGCGCAAGCTCATTCTTCAATTCATTATGGGTGACGGGGTCAATCCAGGCTCACCAAGAGACACTGCGAACCCGCTGAGATCTTAGAGGGATGCGACTCAGCCTACAGGATGCATCGAGATAGGTTAGATTCGGTTTACTGAGATATATATTTTTTGTTGTTCGCATGTACTCCCGAGGCATTAGATCAATGGCTGTCATTGACAAGAATACTCCACCTTCCGAGGAAGTGCATCGTGCGACCTCAGGACGTTGACTTCGACAATGAGAGAGGGTCAGCGAGGGACGATGCCGTGGATACGAGTCTACAGCTAGTAGCATGTCTTCTCTGCGCCTCAAAACGGTTCTCATGACCCTGGGGAGCAGCTTTTCGCGAATTTTGCCCTTTAAGGAATGAAGCTACATTTGAGGCTCTTGACGTCTGCGGCCGTAGGAGTCCTGCAGCTCGCAGAATGCAGCCCAGACAAGCAGCTTGCACGGCAGTGTGGCAGGAATTGCCGCTGTGGCTGTCCGCTAAAGGCACGAGTCAAGCCCTACACTTGCCCAGGACGCGGTAATTCAGCAGCGCCAAACGCTCTCCAGTTAGGCAAACAATCAAGCATTCCAGGGCGTGCTTGTCTACTGGGTACAAGTGCGGAAAGCTCGCTTGTCTGAGGCGGCACGAGACCGGCGCGACCGGCACGCCTGACGGGGTTATGCTATCTACTCGCGTTGCGGGACGAATACTTACAGAGCTTGTACAAAGTAGCTAGCACACGGCGCGATGACCAGGCTTGCTCAGATTGGAGCTGACGTGGTTGGCTCCATCTCGGGCGGCAGGTCTCGAGGACAGAGGCACGGACAGGGAAAGACCACGAGGCCATCGCCGGCTCGATATTGGGCTGCCGCTCTATTGTGTAATTCGACTCTCGAGCTTCTTGTCGGAGTGGCTGCTGCGGCTCGTATTCGACGGTGGGAAGCGTCAAGAGGTGGTTTTACGCGCACATTAGTCACCCAACACCGCATGCCCCATCTCGGGTCATAACGAAGACGAGCAAAGTACAGGATGTATATACTGCTTGATGGCTGCTGAGCCCGCGATGCTGGCGACGCTATCACAACCGCTCCCACCTGGTCTCGAATCCTCGGTATCCCTGACATACAAACAGCCCCCGATACAATGCCGTCGGACGCGCCGTCTCCTCCTCCTTCTGACTCTCCTCCCCCACCATTCAGCGAGACCGAGAGGTCTTTTGACGAGAAGCAGGATGCGCTGGGCGCGGAGACAAAGGTGGGAGGTTAGTTCCCTGGTTGACTGTTGCTCAACCCCCAACGTTCGCCCATCGCAGGGCAAGGCATGACATGGTAAGTCAAGGATTGACACAAGCGCACACCAGACGACGGCCGTGTCAACATCACGATTCGCGAAGTCAACGACCTGCTTGCCCGCCAGATCGAACAACTCCAGCTGTCACGCGTCCAGGAGAACCAAATCCAGGCGGACACAGAGGCAACGCTCGCCGTCCCCGATGCAACAACCCAAGCCCATGCCCTCCTCGAAGCAAGTCGCAAGTCGTCGCGTGTTCCCCCGCGCCTGAACGTCGTCATCCAGGTCGTCGGGTCGAGGGGCGACGTACAGCCCTTCGTAGCCCTGGGCCTCGTTCTCAAGACCCGGTACGGACACCGCGTCCGGCTCGCCACGCACGCCACGTTCAAGAAGTTTGTTGAAGAGAATGGGCTCGAGCACTTCGACATTGGCGGCGATCCGGCAGAGCTGATGGCGTTCATGGTCAAGAACCCGGGGCTGATCCCGGGAATGAAGTCGATCAAGGAGGGGGATGTGGGAAAACGACGGAGGGGCATGGCGGAGATATTGCTGGGATGTTGGAAATCGTGCGCCGACGCTGATGAGGTGGACGAGGGACGCGAACAAGAGGAAAGTGGCAAACCAGCAGCACCCAAGAGAAGGCCATTCGTTGCACACGCTATCATTGCGAACCCGCCCAGTTTCGCGCACATTCACTGTGCGGAAAAGCTGGGTGTGCCGCTGCATTTGATGTTCACGTGAGTTACCATGCGCTCGCTGTCGCCCTGGTCCCTTTGCTACCGGCAGCGCTGATGATGGGCACCGGGTCTCCAGAATGCCATGGTCTCCGACCCGCGAGTTCCCGCAGCCAATCGCCAATATCAAGTCGTCAAAGGCCAGCAGGAGCATGACCAACGAGATGAGCTACACGCTCGTCGACATGTTGACCTGGGAGGGCCTCGGCGATCTGGTCAACAAGTTCAGAAAGGAGACCCTCGGTCTGCCTATCCTGTCGCAGGCCGCGGCCACGGACATGCTCCATCGCTTGCGCATTCCGTATACTTACTGCTGGTGAGTCAACGGCTTGTCTCTTTGTTTTGGTATCGCATGACAAGCCGTCTCAGACAGAGGGGGAGAGAGAGCTCAGGGCTGATATGGCGGCCACAGGTCTCCGGCGCTGATCCCCAAACCGAAGGACTGGGGCCCACACATCACCATCGCAGGCTTCTACTTCCTGTCGCTGGCGTCGCACTACCAGCCCGAACCGGCTCTTGCGGAATTTCTCGCCGCCGGGCCGCCGCCAGTTTACATCGGGTTCGGATCCATTGTCGTCGACGACCCTAATGGCATGACCGAACTGGTCTTCGACGCCGTCAGGAAAACTGGGCAGCGCGCCCTCGTCTCTAAGGGCTGGGGCGGTCTCGGGGGCGACGACCTAGGCCTACCTGCCGACGTCTTCATGCTCGGCAACGTGCCTCACGACTGGCTCTTTCAACACGTCTCGTGTGTCGTGCACCACGGCGGCGCCGGCACCACAGCAGCCGGGATCGCGCTCGGAAGACCCACGGTCATTGTGCCGTTCTTCGGCGACCAACCCTTCTGGGGCGCAATGGTTGCTCGCGCCGGTGCAGGACCTACCCCCATTCCGTCCAAGGAGCTCACGGCCGATCGTCTCGCGGACGCCATCCTCCAAGCCCTCAAGCCCGAGACATTGACGCGTGCGAAGGAACTAGGCGACCTGATCAAAGAAGAAAAGGGCACCGAAGTTGGGGTCGCTAGCTTCCATGCCCAACTCAACATAGAGAACCTCCGCTGTGCGCTCGCGCCGTCACGCCCCGCCGTGTGGACTGTCCGGACAGCCAAGTCGAAGGGCCGCACAGCCGCAGCGGACATTAGACTCAGCGCCTTCGCGGCCACAGTGCTGAGCAACGAAGGTCTCCTCGACGTCAACGCCTTGACAACCCACCGCCCGTGCGAATACCCGAGCGACTACGGCGTCATGAGCGCTCACGCATTGGGGCCCAACCCCGTTCTCAGCACGGCAGGCGGCATCGCCTCCAACATGATCCACATACCGATCAACATCGCGAAAGCATGGGGCGGACTAGTGTACGAGCCGTACAAGGGCGCCAAAGCCGACGGGCTCAGGGGATTCGGCAAGGGCCTCGGCAGGGGTCTCGGACACTTTCTCTTCCCCCAGCGAGACATGGTGGTTGGGCACGGTGCGGCGGGCGTCCGTGTGGCGTACGACGCCATCAAGAGGAAGTTGGGCGGTGATTCGACGCTCAGCTTCATCCTCGCGACGCGCTACGTGGAGGGGTTCGAGGACGTGCAGAAGTCGACCGAGGAGGAGAGGGCCGTGGTCATTGCGCGATGGAGTGAGCTCGGCCCGCCCGCGCTGAGGGCCACGACCAGGAGGAGTAAGAGTAGGAGTAGTGCGCCTTCGGGGGCGAGCACGCTGGCGACGAGTGCGAGTGCGAGTGCGAGTGCGAATGTCAGTCCCAGTCCTAGCCTTTCGCGGCTGACGAGCCAGACGAGCACGAAGAGCGCGAAGAGTGAGAACAGGTTGTCGCGGCTGTTCAGCCATTCGAGGGCCGCGAGGAGTACAAAGAGTGAGGTGACGCTGGTGCGTGATGCTGCTGCTGGTGAGACGAGCGCGAGCACGAGCACGAGTACGCCTCCTCCGTATTCGCATGCGAATGAGACCGGGCAAAACGAAGGCAAGGGATCGGCCGGTCCGTGATCTGTCTGTCTTGGGAGATATTACTATCGAGGTTCAAGAACAAGGTACATAGGTGAATAGACAAGCAGGTAGGTAGGAATGTAGGTAGGTAGGTAGGTAGGCATGTAAGCAGACATGACAAGCGGGGTGTATAAGATGGGATCTTGAACCTATCTCCATCACATTGTTGCCCTGTTTTTTTCCTTTTCTACCATCTACATATTCTCCTGTCCTCGCTAGCTAGGCCTCTGCCGATTAATCATCACACGCCGCGTGACGTCTTCAGAAGCCCATAAGGACATCTCTACCAGTCTGGCGTCACCAGTCTACAGTGCCACCGCACTACCATCCCTTTAGGTAAAGGTCCAGTATGATGCCCAGTGGTGCGCCCAAGTGGTGCTGTACCAAATCGGGCCCTGGGGATCTGGTCAGCATTGCATTGGACTATGTAAAAATAAATCGTCGAAGTGGCTTGTACATATTGAAAGTGGATCAGGGGGTTTCGAATTCCAGATGGAGAGTGTTTGTCTACCTAGCTTCGAGGCGACGAGGGCGGCGGTCGCGGCTCACTACTCATTCTGTCTGGTCAAAGATTGCTGTAGTCGGTGGCTCTGCTGGTCTACGGCATGGACTTGTGTATGGTCTGGTGGTGTTCAACATGGACTTGCATGTGGTCTGCTGGTTGGTTGCTATCTCGAGGCATCCTGGACGGTTGCCACTAGCGGTGGAGAGAACACGAGCTGGTAGAATGGCATCACGAGGCACACCGATTGACCTGTGCCTGGCTTGCTTCTTCGGTGCTGCTCAACATGGTTGCTTGAGAACGAAAGTCGGTGTGGTGGTCCGTCGCATCATTGCCGTCAACCATTGCCTCTGCGCGACATGCAGTTGGGATGTTGTTAGTCGGGAGAAAAGTATCTCATTTCAAGACTCGATGCCATGTGACATTTTGGAGGAAACATATCAAGCATCCCAAGGCTGCTTGGTCGTAAGCTTCACGTCCCAACAAATGATTGTATTGTTCTCCAGGCTCGCTTCCGATACAGCACTAAGAAGAATTGCATTGCTCAGAGATTATCCCTATTGGCCAGGGTCGAGCGAGCTGAATCGAAATCTCTTCTTGGCAGTCTTCGACAGGGCGGAAGGCTCGCTTCTTAGCGAGAAACAAGAACAATTCGCGAGGCGCACCGAAACCGGTACAGGTGCGAACGTGTTCAGACTTTGGTCCAAAGCCAAATGTTCGTGTATTTGCAGCTTGTGGGCGAACGTTTCCCCTAAGGACCGGTCCCAAGCAAATCGGCGCGGAAGGAGTTGGGTGGTGAAACTTTGGGGTCGGTCCTTTTGAAAAGGCTCGGAGCCATGCATATGCCAATTCGGGACAGGCTTCTTCGTGAAGGCTACACATTCATCCACTGGGACTCTTGCACGCCAGGCGTCTTCGTCTCCTGGACGCCCTCAAAGGTCGAGAGACGGCTTGATACGAGGCGATTGCATAGCCTCACCTGAGATACGCCGAGCCTCGACGAGGACTCGGCAAGAGTCTGGATAGGAAACCATGGTATAAACAGAGGAGACGTACCGCGATCGATGAGATGGTTGTGTCCATCTTCTTCTTCTTACACAACCCATTCATCAGTCGGCGAGCCTGCGAAAATTAAGATGCTGGCTCTGGGTGCTTCACTCGCTACTGCCTTCCTGGCAAGCCTAGCCACGGGCACCGGCGTTGGCGCTCCTCTTCTCAAGCGAAGTAACCAGCCTGGCATCGCGGGCAATGCGGCTTGGGATGGAAGCACCTACAGATGTCCTGAAGGATCGAACATCTTCCTGGAGAAGTGGTGCTGTCCAGAAGGGTACGAGTACGATACCAACAGCGGCCAGTTCACGTCGTTCATATGCTGTCCAATCGGTGAGAATTTGACTTCTGTTCTTCTTCATGTCGGCTCAGCTGCTGATACGCGCGTAGGAGGCCCAGAATGTTCTCAGCAGGTTCTGGACTGTCCCATCTGTGCCGACTCCAATTGGGTATACTTCGACATCGGCGGAACCAATGTTCCACCGACATTGCCCTTTTGTTGCGAACAGGGTTATGCCCCAGGTGGATTGCCGGAACCACAACCTGCGAATGTGTGCACTTCCGGGGCAAATCTGTGGACGGACTATGCGACGGTAAGTAGGCCCATTCTGACAAAGAGGGCGTGCATGAGCTGAGACCCTTAGGCATCACAATGTGGACAAGTTGCGGATGCTACTGGAAGCCCATCTCCAGGGACGACTTCGGCGACGCCCACCGACTCGGGAGAACAAAGTGCGAGCGCCACATCGGCACAGACAACAGCGACGGCGGATGCAACGACTGGCGGTTCATCAGAGTCTGGAGCGGACTCCAGCCTGAGCTTCTCGGCGCATCTCTTGCTCATGACCATGTTGCTGCCTGGGATTTTGATGGTGGTGATGTAAACACAACAAAGAACAAAAGAGGCTGGGCTGGTTTGGCGGGCGAAGGTACTTGTACTCCGCCGTACTGTACCTAGGTACTCCGTACTCCGTAATTATTATCGCGCCACCAGAAACCGAGATAGGCGTGATACGGTGGAGCATGACGCGCGCGTGAAATTAAATAGGCGACACGTAGCGGGCGGCGTTTACAGTTCGTTAGGTGGCGTTCCAGCCTCGCGTGGCTTGAGATAGCCGAATTGAACCCCCCCGCCTGGGCCTGTTTCCAAGATCCAACCACGCTGATTTCATCCTTGACCGCCAGTGGTACGAGGAAATAGAAAGGCGGGCTTCTCTGCACAATCCCGCCTTGTTTGTCTTGCAATCCTTCTGCAACCTTTGCTATCTTTGCACTGCTGGCCCCTGTCCGCACAGGCTCGAACACACGTGCTGCTGCAGCTGTCAGACTGCTCTTCCTGTTGCCCGACGTGAACGGCGGGGCCATCCTGCATCCATTTCGGTACCTAATCAAACCACCCAGCAATCTCAACGAACCTTGAATCACGACGCGAGCACCATCCTTTCTCACTTCGAAGTGATCTCAGTCGCAATCAGTGGGTGCTGCGCCCCGATCAGCCTTTACGAGCTCGTAGCAGAAAAGGGATGATCTGCTGATCGGGTTACCTATCTTGTCCAGACCCTTGGCTTCAGGATCCGGTTCTGGCAACACGATCTTATTGCATCATCCGGCACCATGTCGCAAGACATGTTTAATCACGGCGTTGGAGCCCTGGCACATCCAGACACGCGCAATTTGCCATTCAATTTCGACCAAGACGATTGCGCTTTGTCACTTCCGCCTCCGCCGGCTACCAGAGGCCATCAACGATCGAGAACCACCGTCGACCTTCCACCTCTCTTCACCCGAACGCAGTCTTCCTCTCCCACCCGGTCCTCCGTATTTTCATTTTTGCGACCGGGAAGCACTAGCTCGGTGTCTCCAGAAGGGGTACCGACTGCAGAAGCAGACGAAACCGCTAGCCACGGGCGATCACAGTCACCTACCAAGAGGAGGACTGGCGGTCTGGCGGCTTGGTTAGAAGGAGGGTCATCTGCTCCAGTGAATATAGGACTGGTCCCTTCTCCGCAAAAAGAGAGTCTGGATCCCGTCGAGGAGGTCGGCACAACTGGTGAGCTCTCCTCCTCGTGTCGAGACTCGCTGGACGCCTTGACAAGACGACCCCAAGTGAAACCCACTTCCTCCGGGCAGACATTATCCACCATGTCGAAATTCAATATCTTTAGAAGGAGTACCACTACCCTGACGTCTCCGGAGGATATGGATGAATTGGCTCAGCTCGATGTCGACGCGGCCCTCTTCCCGCATGGCCGGCCGGACGAATTTTCCCCGGCCGCATTTAAGAATCTCCAACAAAACGCCGAGGGAACAATACGACGCTTGCAACTGGCCTACCGGGAACAGCGTCAGTCGCTACGTGCGGTCAACTCGACGAAAAATGTCCAGGCAGACGAATTGGAGGCCGCGGAGACGAGAAACGAGCACTTGAAACTCCAACTGCAGGAGATGGCCGAGCGAGCGGCAGAGCAGGAGAAACTGATGATAGAGATGAGGGCGCAGCTGCAGGCTCAACGGTCATCTCACGAGACCCACCAGCAAAGCATCAGGATGGTGGCGCAGGATCAAGATGGGCCCCCTCGACCCAAGTACCGCCGCTACCGCTCGTCCGACGTCTCGACATCAGGAGAATCTGAAGCTGGCTCAGAAGTGAGTTCAGTGGTCAGCGTCTTCTCAGAACAGTTGTCGATAGCTCCATCGCATGCGACGTCACTAGAATCATCTGAAACCTCTGCGAGAGCGGACTGCCCGAGATGTCATGGCATGAGACCCTCGGACGCCTGGGATGTGGTCGGAGTGATGAAGATGGAGTCGGCGGCCTTGAAGCAACGGATTGCCGTCCTGGAAAGCGCGCAAGACGATGCTATGGATCTCATCAACGGACTGAAGCTATCGTTTTGACCATTGACCCACGTGTCGTCATTTGCTATATCTCAAGATACCCTGATTGTGGACGCATTACGCCGCATAGCTTGAACACTATCATGTTGTGAATATGAACATCTTTTCATTCACGGAGTACATCAATACACAAGATTCAGACCATTGCTGTATGAGCAGGTCACGATCCTCCGTCCGTTCGTAATGGCCAGCATTGCAGTTTGGCCGTGGAAGGATTCTCTGTACCGCATACCGCGTAATTCGTATTGGTCCAAGCTACGACGAGGCTAGAACCCACACAGCCCAGTCACGTGCCCGGCCCAGTGCTCCCAGCCACCTCGCTTCCCACTCACTTCCCACTCACTGACCAAATCACCAGCCACTGGGAGCCTGGATGGATCACCAATCCACGTCCGTGTACGTCGACATTCAGCTCCCTTGGGTCGGCAACATGCTGCGCACTGTTTCTCATCCTTTCCAACGTCACAAATGCTAGTGACTCCAAGGTGAACCGTCGCGAGTCGAATCGCTGGTAAACGAGGCTTCAGTCCTTGCAATCGTTTGAAGCCGTTTTTTTAAACACCCTCTACCATCTGATGATACCTTTTACTTTGTTGCTGACCGAATAGTTCCAACATGTCCTTCAGTGGACGGACCCCGGAATCACTGCTCCCTCGTTCCGACTCGAAGAATCCGGCTACCACGTGCAAAGGTATCACCTCAACTGGCAGACCATGTCGACGTTCGCTTGCTGCTTCACCGAAGAATTCGCCCACACCGTCTCCAAGTCGAGATAACGGAGTACTGGCGGTCCTTGATGAACAAAATGCAGCTGCTTATTACTGCTGGCAGCACAAAGACCAGGCCGAGCAATTGGCCGCGCAGGGTGGGCGAACCAAGTTGCATCCATTGAAAGAGAGGTCGAGCATCGATAGCCTTGTCGAGCATGTGGGACTACTCGACTTGGATGAAAACGTTCCAGAGAACAGGAAGCGACAACGCCAAACCGCCGGCACCAAGCGGAGGGACACCTTACCGCCGGGCTGGAACCAGATGCAGAGTCCACTTATGACAGTGCCAGAAGAGATTGTACATCGCAGAAAACCACAAGTCCGGCCTCCGCCTCCCCGATCGAATGTGAAACTGTCCTGGGCGTGTTGCATACAGGCTGACCATGACGATTTGCCTCCCCCGCGGGTTCGGAGAGACGACAGGAACAGGCCACCCCGACCTCATACAAGTACAAGCCAGTCACCGATCGCAGTACGGCCCGAGATGCGTCAGCAGTCCGCCATCAAAGCAACTCGACCCTCTCAGCCGAGTCCAGCACCGTCCCATACAGAGACACTTCTATCACTTATACCTTCCAGTCTGTCACCTCAAACGACCTCGGCATTACTCGCCGAGCTGTCACGTCCGTTTTCTCCGATGGACGAAGCTGGCTATATCTATATCTTCTGGCTAACCCCGGAGACGGAGGCCTCCAGACCTGACGACGAGACAGCTTCATCTCTGCTCGATGACGATGACGAGTTTTACACCAAGCGAAAGACTCAAGCGCTCGCTCGGTACGCCTCTGTCCATCGTCCATCAAACTATGCTCATCAGAAACGCACCATCACACTGAAGATAGGTCGCGCAGCAAATGTCCACAGGCGTATGACTCAGTGGACCAAGCAATGTGGACAAAATATAACTCTGATTCGATACTATCCTCATGAACGAAACAAGTCGGTGTCAGGATCGGCCGGTCCGGGTGCGACGAAGAAAGCGCCACATGTCCACAGAGTCGAACGGCTGATCCACCTCGAGCTCGCAGGTAAGAGGGTTGTCACAAACGAATGCGACCAATGTGGACGGGAGCATCGAGAGTGGTTCGAGATCGACGCAACCAAGGAGGGATTGAAGGGCGTGGACGAGGTTGTGAGACGATGGATTGGCTGGGCGAAAAGACAGCAAGCTCCGCTCCAACAGTCGCAGTATTATTAGCGGTGGCTGTCCTGGTTCGACCATGTCAGATCTGTCACGTTTGGGACGAGCAGCCATAGATTTAGAAGTTCGTAATGGGAACAAGCATACTTACACAGTACTTGGCTACGATGATCCGGTGCTACCGAGGGGAATGCTGGGTACTCACATGCTCCAACAGATCGAAACTTTCGCGTTCCTGCACGTGTGTCCCATCATTGGATAGGCGAGACTTCCTCTCCTCCATATGGTCTTAGATGAGAGCACGCTCAGCAATGGGCGCACCTTATTCGCCAGGTTCGGGGGTTCAGCCTTGCCTTGGTCCAACACGAAACAAATCTTCGCGGCAAAGATGGTCTGGACGATATGGCAGTATTCCAGCGCTGTGGTTCACGTGGCCATGGCTAAGGAATGAATGTCGGCAACGCATGAAATGGATGAATTTTGAAAGAGAAGTGAGCAAAGGTGAGAGAGGGAGAAGGGATTTGACCTTGGTTAAGCCGCTATGGCTACAACCTCACCGTGCGTCCGAGGGTGCATATTACACCCACGGTGATCTTATGTCCTAACGAACGCGCCTAGGAACCAACGCACGTCCGAAACGACAGAGCAGCAAGAGTACGAACACGCCATCCTTCGTCAGCACTACCCCGACGACAAACGCCGGCTCGACCTGAGGCATCTCGCAGGAGACGAGCCAGGAATGCCCGACCGGGGAGGAGAAGACGGCAGAGACGGCAAGGACGAGGATGGTCATGAGAGGCCGTCCTCTTCACCGTCGGCCGGCTCGTCTGGCGCCCGCGCCAAGGTCAAAGGGAAACTCAAGTCGTTCTGGAATAAGACGGTCGTGCCGGCCTTCCCCGAGGCCATCGCGGACATCTCGATCATCAAGGCCGCACTGAAGGTCGAGGCCACAATCACCAAGGACTTGAGGGACACCAGCCGGCATCCGGAGGTTGCCCAGTCGGCCACGGTAAGAAGAGGATTCGAACTCGCGCCAGAAGAAATGCGGTTCCGCGACGTGAGGAAGGTCAAGGTCCGGGATGCGTTCTGCCGATACCTGGGTCTTGACCCTGCGGAGGTGCATGTCGATGATGTGCCCATTGTGGCGTTTGGCGGGTCGGGGGGAGGGTACAGGGCCATGATTGGCATGTTGGGCTATGGGGACGAAATGAAGCGCACTGGCCTGTGGGACGTGTTGACGTACGTGTCGGGCGTGAGTGGGAGCTGTTGGAGCCTGGCCGCGTACTATACCTGGGCAGGCACCAGTATGGACGCCGTGATTAGGCATTGCAAGCAGAGGTTGCATCCCCATCACCCGTTGTCGCCGGAGGCGATCCGGGAGGTGTTGCACGCGCCGGGTGGGCCATCAAAGACGCTCGGTCCGTTGGTGCAGAAGCATCGAACGGGGCTCTCGACCGTGGCGATGGATCTGTACTCGGTCTTCACTACGGGCCACCTGTTCCTGGTGCATGATCCAGCTTTAGAGCCTCCCGGATCGCACGGAAGGTCCGGGGTCAAGAAGGAGGTAGCTGGTCAGCACGAGCAGTGGTTCAAGTGGTCGTCAGCAAATGCCCATCTTGTGGATGGCCAAGAGCCTCTACCCATTCTCACCGCGATCCGGCATGAAAGGCCGTGGAAGGACTGGGTCGATCAAGAACACCCCTTCAAAGACGCAGACCCCGGGGCCAAGGAGCATGAAGAAGCACAAGATGCGTGGTTCAACTGGTTCGAGATTTCGCCCATTGAGGTGGGCTGCGATGAATTGGAAGCATGGTGTCCGACGTGGGCGTTCGGCAGGCCGTTCGAGAAGGGCCGCGATACCATGCAGATACCCGAGCAGTCTCTGGCATTGCTACTGGGGCTATGCACGAGCGCGCCAGCAGGGCCATTGACCTCGTACCTTGCGACCATCAAACGGAGCCTCCCATCGGGGTTTATTGGCAACTCGATCAACGACATGGCCAAAGGCGTTGCGCGGATGTGGGGTGAGAAGGGCACTGAAGAATTTCAAGCGCATCATCCGCTGCACGCGGTCAACGAACATAATTTCATGTTCCACCTGAGCAAAGGCGAGAACAAGGACACCCCGTCGCCGCCGATTGAGAACTCGCCCCGTATCCACCTCATCGACTCTGGGATGGACAACAACTGCCCGACATATGTCATGCTCCACCCTCGCCGGAATGTTGATGTAATCCTGAACATGGACGCTTCCAGTGACGTGTTGAAGGGCACTTTCCAGGACCGGGTCGACCAAATCGCGAGTCGAAGATGCCTCAAGTTCAGCAAGCGGTATCCTGAGCTCCAGGCCGGCACAGACCCTAAAAATCCCGACCAATTCCAGGGGCTGTATGCCCAGATCTACGACGGCTCCATCCTCGTTGACAGGCCTGAGGAAGTCGTCGACTCGTACGGCCACACGGTGACCAATCCACCTGCACCGCCCTGTCTGCATGAGTCGACCATGATATACCTCCCCCTCCTGCCGAATCAGGGCGCGGTGCCGGACTTTGACCCATCGACCGCGAAGTTCTCGGGCTCGTATAACCTTGTGTGGACGCCTGACCAGGTGGAGATGTTGGTAAGGATATGTTGCGCGAATTTCAAGGCCGGCGAGGAGACGATCAAGATGGTGCTGAGGGAGCAGTGGCTGAAGAAGAGGGCGAAAAGGGAGACTGCCGCTGCTAGTGTCTTACCTCTGGCTGATTCTCCTGGGGAGGCATGTGCATAGGTTGAGAGCCGTTCCTGATGTTACCCTGCAGACTCCTGGCAAAGCGACCCAAGCGACAAAGATGGAGAACATCGGGCGACTCCGGAAACCGGAACCCCCAAGAACGCCAGGGTCGCTCTCATGGTGCGCGACCGTCAGAAACTAGCAAGAGTCTCCAGCATGTTCGCATAGCAGAGCACACAGTCTAGCATAAGAAGGATCAGGTGGCGACGAAGCAGAGTAGAGGGGTCGGACGTACGTACTTGGCCATGCAGGGCCGGCGGATCGGGATACTGCCGTAAGGGGTATGTTGCGAGCCTGCCGTGCGCCTCGTTCCGGTCAAGCTCTCCGATCAGATTGCTTATGTATGTTGCCCGATATTTCGCGACCTTCTAGAAGCACTGGGGTCGATTGTCACACGGCACTGGATACCATTGCGGAGCCCAACAGAGCAGGAGGCGTGCTCGTCTCATGCACGGATCACGCACGGAACAACCCGGGACAACGGGTCCCGATGCCAAGCCTCCCGCTTTCCTCTCCCACACAAAGTGTGATTGGCGCATTTCCGCTTCGCAGTAATTCGAGTATCTTTCCGCAGTGTACAGTATCTTGCTTCTGCTGGAGTCGCGCAAGAACCACGACGACTGGGTGTGACGATGCGGCCACCGAACAGCCTATGATGCTCTAGGCTGAATACCGCGACCTCCATTCTGTCTGCCTCATCACCAGCCCCGGACGGCGACCGGCTCGACCAACCGCTGTGGGACTTCGCGTCCGTAGCGACATGATGCTGCCCAGCTCCGCCCAGAACGCCCGGTGTCTTGGTCCTCTTGGTATGCTGCTAATGTAGATCCTCCACCTTTTTGACCCCGGCCCCCCAGATTACTGCCTCGATACGATAGGTCCGCGACTTGTCCCGCCTTGTCATCTTCCTTCCCACAGGGCGCTGTGCCCGCCCCGACGTGACATCGGCCCAGCACGACGATTATCGCCGAATGCACGTCGACAATTACTGTGTGACAGCTTGTCCGGTGGCGTGCCGTACAAGATTACTCGGCCATGCTTGTCTAGGTGGTCAAGATGTGCTTGTGGCTGGTCCGACACGAGCTCTATTTGTGGGCCCTGTTGCAAGATAGGCGGAACGACTTCATGAAATCACCAAGCAGAGTAAGTTATCGGCCAAGGTGCTGATCCTCCCATCAATAGAGTCACGTCAGCCCACCATTACCCCCTCCGCACTGCGTTCTCGTGGCCCTGGACCAACCGCATCGTCTAGCCGCAGCGAGCAGTTACACAGTACTGGGACTGGGAATTTTAAACGTGGTCGTCTATCACGTCCGCCTCGATTCGCCGTTGTCAGTCCGGGATCGGCTCGTCTGCGAGGCGCCTCCCATCCCTGGTCGACAATGGTGCAACCATAAAAAGGCTGCTCTGTCCCTCGAATCCGTGCCATCCAACCTTCTCATCTGAGATTGTCAGTGCCACGGATCCCGAACCTAGTCATCACTCAGACCTGCCTGACCTTTCTATCTGCTCCCAACCATGGCCGAGACAACCAATCCCCCGGCTGACCCCATTGTACGAGGCACGTGGGCGACGGCGAAACAGTCCTGGTCTGATCTCTTCACATGGAAGCAGCGAGTCGCCATCACCAACGACTATGGCGAGACCTACTGTGAATGGCAATCGCCACGCCCACTGAGGAACCCCATCAGCCTCTTCGCCCAACTCAGCGCAACAGACTGGCTGTTCTTCCTGGTCGGTCTGGCAGCATGGACCGCCGACGCCTTCGACTTTCACGCCCTGTCGATCCAGACGGTCAAGCTGGCAGCGTATTACGACACCAGCAAGACCAACGTGTCCACCGCTATCACGCTGACTTTGCTCCTTCGTTCAGTTGGTGCGGCCTTCTTTGGGCTTGCCGGAGACAAATTCGGTCGGAAGTATCCCATGGTCGTCAACATGATCATCCTTGGCCTGTTGCAGGTGGCAACCATCTACAGCGCCACCTTTAAGCAATTCCTGGCCGTCCGCTCCCTCTTTGGTCTCTTCGTGAGTGGTCCACCTCGCGATACTCGCGGTCTTCCCCGGACAATACTAACCTTGGATGCTGCAGATGGGCGGTGTGTACGGTAATGCCATCGCCATGGCTCTCGAGAACTGCCCAGTCGACGCCCGTGGCTTGATGTCCGGCATCCTGCAGCAGGGCTACTCACTCGGCTATGTCATCGCCGCGTGTTGCAACCTCGGCGTTGGTGGCGAAACCGACTCCTGGAAGACCGTCTTCTGGATCGGCACCGGCCTCTCCATTGGCGTGGGCTTTATCCGCTTGTTGTTCCCCGAATCAAGACAGTTCACCGAAGCCAAGAGAGCGGGCAAGGGCCACACTTCGTCTGCCAGTGCATTTTGGGTGGAGACGCGCAAAATGCTGGCTCAGGAGTGGCGCATGTGCATCTACTGCATCATCCTGATGACCTGGTTCAACTACTACTCCCACACGTCGCAGGACAGCTACACCACGTTCATGCTCACGCAGAAGGAGCTCAACAACAGCGCCGCCAGCCGTGCGTCGATCCTCATGAAGACAGGCGCTTGCGTTGGTGGCACCATCATCGGATACATTTCCCAGTGGTTCGGGAGACGTCGATCCATCATCGTCGCGGCCATCATGTCCGGCATCCTCATCCCGGCCTGGATCCTGCCCACCACCGAGAGAAGTCTTTCGGCAACAGGTTTCTTCATGCAATTCTTCGTGCAGGGTATGTATATTCCAAACAAAGCATTCATTCGTAGCCGCTTTGGAATCTAACCCGGTCTTTTTCCCGCAGGCGCCTGGGGTGTCATTCCCATCCACCTGAACGAACTCTCGCCGCCGGCGTTCCGCTCGTCCTTCCCCGGAATCACGTACCAACTCGGAAACATGATCTCTTCCCCGTCAGCACAGATCGTCAACGCGATCGCCGAGAGCAACCTGGTCAGAGCCGTGGATGGGGAGCTAGCTCCAGCCTACGGGCCGACCATGGGCGTGGCAACCGCCATCATCGCCACAGGTAAGCCATACATACGGCCAACTGAGTTACTGGTCGGCCAACCGCTTCATTTCATCTTTGGACCACCAATGACAAAAGCTAATGCACGGGTACTGTAGGCATTGCTGTGACCACGGCGTTCGGCCCCGAAAGAAGAGGCGCCAAGTTCGAGCTGGCCAAACCTGCTGGCGTGCAGGAGGAGATGAGGCGCAAGAGCGTCGACGTGGAGAGCCAGGCCGAAGAGAAAGCACGGGTCGCCGAGACCGAGGTGGTTGCGGAGAAGCACTGATTGATGAGTGATCACACCGGGAAGGAGCGTTAGATATGTACCTGCTGGCTCGGTTCGGGACCCTGTCAGGAACCGATCGTGATAGACGTGGGAGGGTGTTGATCGGCCCGTCGAGCGGAGCATGGATAGAGCGAAGTGATAGGCATGAATGTGGACATGGTTGCCCCGATGGGATAGATACCCCCTGCGCAGCCACGCGGACGGAGGTCATGCCTCGGCCGCAGGTACGCTGTAGCTATAGCTGTAGCTGTCGCTGCAGTTGAACTTGTTGATTACCCCCTGATATCTGATCACCGCGTGTGCGTCACATACTTACAATAGGTACAATAGCGAGATGAGTCTGAGCCACTCACTGTTGTACATTCATTTGTTGTACATGCTCGTACTTGGCTCCTCAATCACTCACTCGCTCGCTTGCTCGCTTGCTCCGTACGTACTCACCATCCGCCCAGCCACCCAGCCATTACGGGTCCAGAGTACTGACTAGTCACTCACTCGCTACAGTACAAGCAGTATCGATTATACAGTGCAAGGGTGGTTCTACTGTACTCCCGCTCCATCTTCCAGTCGCACTTGCATTGCATTCGCACTGCACTGCGCTCGCATTGCACTCGCACTCTCAACCCATGCAGCGAGAACGAGTTACAGCAGTCCGCAAGTGACTACCCAAGTACATACGGTATGTAAGTCAACAACTCCCCCGCGCCAGCTCGTCCAGGTCCAGGTCAATGCTCAAGATCCGCACCGACCCGTCCGCCGACGCCACTGCCAACTCGCCAACATTCACTCTAGCTCTAGCTCTAGCTCTAGCACTTGCTGTTGCTGTTGCTGTTGCTGTTGCTGGATTCGCACTGTTTGTACCGGGCGGGCTTGTGTCTGTGTCTGTGTCTGTGCCTACGCCTATGCCTATGTCGGTCCCCTCGCCCGCCTCGCTCGCCCCAACCCAAGACTGGCTCCGAGGCCGCCACGCCAACCTGTTCACCGCACGCGATGGACATAGATCCCTCGACAGGTCAACGCTCTTGGATTTGGATAATACCGTCGACGTTGGCGCAGCGGACACTTCCCGATCGAGCACGATCACGTGAAGTGAGATGGTGCCGTCGCCCTGTCCCGCGGCGAGGATCTTTGTGTTGGATGTGCCGTCTCGGGTCGAGCCGGTAGGTACTTCCGCGACGGCAATGGCGGTGACGGGGCTGGACCGCGCGATCGAGGCTTTCAGGGTGAATTCGTAGTTGTAGTCGTGGTCACGGTCATGGTCACGGTCATGATTCTGGTTCTGACTCCGCTTGCCCGACCATATCTTTATTGTTTTGTCTCGTCCTGCTGTGACGAAGCTTGGGTCCTCGGTACCCGGTAGCCAGGCGGCATCGAGGATCATCCGGCTGTGGGCTTTGGGGTTGTTGGCAATGCGGATCCAATCCTTGGTGTTATTAGTTTTACTGTCCGTCTTTCCATCTGCTGCTTCGACAGGGTCATTCCCCCGCCTGAAAAGGGCCCACTGTCTGTCCCTGCCTACACTGAGCAGGTACTCGGCCTCATCCCGCCCCTTGGAGAACGCGAGCCTCGTGACGGTCAGCGAATGGGCAGACAAAGCCGGTTTCGTCTCGGTCCAGCTGGTCGTGTCGTAGAGGCGAATGACGGCCTGGTCGGTCGAACTGGCTTTACATGTTGTGGCGAGGACGGCGCCGGGAGATGATGCCGATGCCGAAGACAAAGACACACACGACGTCGCGACCTCGGAGATCTCGGAGCCGTGGCCGTACAGCTTTTCGTGCTCGGGCCAGAGCGTGTGGCGCGACAGGAGATCCTCGGTGGGTGGTTCGCTGATGGTGGCGAGCGAGGGCGCGCCCAAAGCACCCATATCGTCGGCTGTGCCTGTAGTGTCCAGATCGTTCGCTTCCACGACTTCGCTCTCGTCCATCGCCTTGTTTGACAGTCCCAGCACAGGGATTGCCGCCCTTTCGGGCATGGATATAGAAGTGTTCTGCCCACCCGCCTCCGTCCCTGCCGCCGCGGGCAATGAAATCCCACAAAGCCGGTTCAAGATGCCGGCCACGTCTCTCGGCTGATTGAACACGCGGAGGAGTTTCTCGTCTGCGCCGCTGCAGAACTGCCACGGTGAAATGCTCGTTATGCAGTTCAGATCGTAGCCGTGGATCTGCGGCCTGGAGAATTCATGCCAGCTCCGCTTGCCACCTCGCTTCCACTGGGCGTGGAGTCGCGTGGTTTGATCGGCGCTCGTGGTCAGGAGGTAGCTCCCGTCCGGGGACCAGCACAGTCCCGTGACGGCGCCGACGTGGCCGCTGATGCCGTGTCGCTGGGTCCAGAATTGAGACTCCGCATCGTACTGCCAGAGGCGCCAACTTCCCGTGCGCCCGAGCGAGGTGACAGCCTTGCCGTCGGGGCTCCATAGTGCGGTCCAGAACCCTCCGGCCGAGCCGGTCGCCGTGGTGGCGCCTTTTTGACTGCTGATCTCTCCGAGACGGGAGACGCTGAGCCAGATCCCGGAGATGGGGTCGGATTCCCAGATGGACAGGGAGCCGTCGGCGGACGCGGTCAGGAGTCGAGCATCGCCTGCGCCGGTTCTGGTGCCAGGACTCCATGACGCCGAGTAGATCCAGTCGTCGTGGCCGAGGAGGAGAGCCTCGAATGTGATGGAGCAGGTATATGAGCCGGCCGTGACTGTTTGAACCTTCGCCGCCAGTGTGCTGGGTGCGTTCGTGGCCGTCGAAGTGAGGACAGCACTCTGCTGATTACCTGAGCGGAAGCGCCAGATGCGCACGTATTTGTCCTGGCTGGCCGACGCGAGTAGGTATCCTCCATCATCATCATCCGCATCGCCTGTGCGAGTCAGTGCCAACGACCGAATCCACGCTTCATGTCCCGTCAGCGTAGCGCGGAGCTTGATCTGAGGCTTCGAGGGCAAGTTCTCGAGCGAGAAGACCTGGATGTCGTTGCGCGTTCCCCCTACGACCAGGAAGGCTGTTCTCTGGGACTCGTCCGAGCCAAAGAGACCAACAGCCAGGGCGAGGGGGATGAACCTCGGCTTGAGAGGGAGTGTTGCCAGCGCCTCAATCTGGCTTTCCTGCACGTGGACTCTCCATACTTTGACGGTGGCGTCGGCTCCTCCGGTGACGAAGATGTTGTGTGCACCAAGACAGGAGATGGTGTTGACGGTTCCATCGTGCGCTGTTACCCTGGACAGACAATGCCAGCGTCCCTGTCGACTCGAGCCGTCTTGTTTCCAAGCAGCAATTTCGCCGTCCGCGCTACCCGTCACCAGAAGCTCATCTGGGGTCGAGCTTGATGGACATGTCAAGAAACTGACGGCCGTGACTTTCGCCTTGTGCCCGCTGAGGAGGGCGGAGATGCCGCGTCCCGCGTCATTCAGAGGTGACCAGATGCCCACATTTTGATCCGCTCCAAAGGCGACGAGCCCAGAAATGGCAGACCAGTCAGCGGCGCCGGAGTGTCTGTTTCCACCGGCGCTATAGTACTCGCTCACGACAGAGGCTGTCATTGAGAGGAATAGCTGGTGGGAATGGGTGGAGGGTGCAGAAGCGGCGCTCAATAAAATGTAAATCGAGTATGAAAACGCCAAGCTTTTACGAACATGGCGCCGTGGCCTGATTGGTCAGATCCCCGCTAGCAGATCTTCAGCCTCGCGTCTCGCCTCCTGAGCGCCAGCCTTGTGCACTCGCCGCCGCTTGACGGACGGGTACGGAGTACGGTGTACAGGTGTACAAGACCCATCTACCTATCTAGTAGTCCCATGCAGGGCGCTCGATGCTTATGCTTATTAACCCACCGTCCCATCTCGGCACTTGCTATCCACTCGAGCGATAGAAGATGATGAACCACTGCATTCGCGGTAGTGGGTCGTTCAATCACTAATTACCTCGTGGTGGCCGCGACAGACGCTTCGCCACTGAGATACCATAGATCCAAGCGCTGACTCCATTTAAGCATACCGCATACCATCCAAGTGCACTCTCCTTGGTATCGCGGCTCGCCATGTCCACCCCGCCAATTCAGCGCCTCAGCCCCGAATCCCTCTTCGACTCGGTCGGCCCGGTCTACGACGCCATCACCGTCTGCTTCGGCTTGATTGCCAGCGTTAGTCGCGAGAACATCAGGGCGTATATCGGGCGGATATTCGATTGGTTGACACCGGGCGGGCTGTTTGTGTTCGCGACAGTGCCGATCGCTGGGAAAGGGCTGGAGATCGCATGGATGGGCCGGGCGATCGTGGCGAGTGGGTTGAGTGAGGACGAGGTGCTCGAGAGGATGAGGGAGGTCGGGTTCGAAGCGATCCAGGTCGAGCAGAGCAAGTATAGGCCGATCGGCGGCGGAGGCCGGGATCTGCAACGACGAGGATGTGTGGGAGGATGGAGCATCTGTTTGTGTATACGAGCAAGGGGGAGCGAAATCCATCCTAGACCTAGACCTAGAGCACGTACCGCATATATACCTAGGTATGTAGTGCCATCCCGTCAACTACACAAATGCTAGCTACGTCCGTCTTGGCACGAGCCGTACCCTGTCATCGCCTCATGCCCAGGGCATAATCTTCCAGATATGCTCGCCGGCCGATCCCTTGGGCCATATATCCTTCCTTTCTAACACCTTGTCATACGGCCCCGTCGGCCCGCCCTCGTACTTGAAATGCTTGCCAATGTTCTTTTCTCGCTGCCTCGGATCTCCCGCCGGGAACCTTTCATCTCCCCAATGGCCCAGGAAGCGTAGCCACGCGACCGGCGTGCCCGGCTCGTACGGTGTGAATGTGCCCCCCTCCGAGTCCCTGCCCGGTACCTTGGGCACGTACTTGTAGAAGAAGGCATTCAAGGTCGGATCCCAGAGTGTACCACGATCGCACACATCCATCAACACGCCGAGCGGCAAGTTGAAGTGTGGGATTGCGTGGTCGTGCGTCCCCGCGGTAGCATAGTTGGCGTGCGTCCCTCGGGCGCTGTACGTGATGGGTCGCAGGCCGTGGTTGTGCTTCTCCACCAGTTTGTAGTACAGCGCCTCCCCCGACGCGTGCTGCGAGTACCAGATCGCTGTGGGCTTGCCGTCTTTGAAGCGGATCATGTTGTGTTCCCTGCAATGATGTTAGCGTGGGATGAGACGAGTGGCAGAGGCCGGAAAGGCAGAGTCAGGACTGACCAGTCGCCGACGTGGTCGCCGAGTTCTTTGGCAAAGATGGTCTGCCCTTGGTTGTAGGCATAGAAGTACATGTAGAAGGCGTCGACGGTGCCCGTGCCGTGGTCGTTGACCACAATGCAGCATGACTTGGCGCCGTTTGTCTTGCCGTTCGCATCCGGTCGCACACCTTTCATCCACCCGGGATTGTTGGACACATCGTCATTGGAGCTCAAGAAGACGTCTTTCCCGCCGTGTGCATTCAATTCGTCCAGATTGTCCAGTGTCAGTGGCGAGGGACAGTTGGCGATTGGACTACCCTTGAACACCGGGTGTGTATGCTTCAGTTGAGATCCAATGTCTGACGGAAGATATTCTTCCTTGGACTGGAGATACACGATTGGGGCTAAGTATTGTTGCTCAGTCAGTGACTCGCCCATGTAAAAGCTGCTGCTGTTGCTACTGCTGCTCATGCTACTGGCGACTAACCGTATTCAAGTACGAAAGAGGGCACCTTTTCTTTGTCTGTCACCGTGGCAGGAACTGGATGTGGAGCAGCTGTTGAGGTCATTGTGCTGGTTCAGTGCGTGAGGAGCGGGATGGAGGTGGTGACAGCAAACAGGAAGAGATGAGCAGAGACGGCCACACCGCGGCATGGCCATCACTTCGCTCATATCTCTGTAGCGCTGGCATATTTCCTACGCTTCTGCTCGATCGGTGCACCGAGGCTAGCATGTGGCTACGGGCCTGTCATGGAGGGATGGTGCTAGCCGTGTATTCAGCTGCGCCATGGCTCGTATTGCCTTCAGCTTCAGCCGTAAGCCGACGACGCCTCTTCCAGATCCATGCTCTGCCATATGAATACCAGGAGATCGTGACAGGTGAGATTTTGTCGAACACTGTTATATTTGGGTCAAGAATGGCTTGCCTCCGTGGGGATGCGTGGGTGACGGCTCATGTGACAGGAAGTCCGGAGAGCAGAGATGAGGGAGTTGAGGGAAGCGAGGCCTGATGAAAGAAACGGACGAGCGGGGGTGTCTGACAGCCAGCCCTCCCAGCCAGAGAGCAAAGAGACTTGCCTCGAGACCTTCAAGGTCCGGCAGCACCCAATCGTGCCTCTCTCGGTCATGGCAGGCGCACCTGTGCTTTTGTCTCTGCCCTGAATCCATTACCGTCTGGCTTGGAAGAGTAGACGGTAGATCGCTCAGCAACCAGAAGCATAATTAAGACGTAGAAAGTGGTCCATTCATTTAGCAATTCGCTGGGCAAAGCTTGTCACAGAGAGGAAATCGTCGCACACACTGAGCTGACTAAGCATCCAAGACCAGTCCGACACGTGATTTAGATTCAAATTCAGATTCAGATCAGACTCACATTCGGTTCCGTTTACTTGTGCTTTCAGCCTCGTGAGCGGATCATAAACTCGTCTCGGACTGGTCGTGTCTTCTCGGAGAGCCCTTCTGGTTCTCTAGCTTGGAGTCGAGGGTGCTTGTCTTATTCTCACCATCATGCCTGACACGGTCGACATCACGGTGGAGTTCACGTAAGCTCTCCCACTCCTCTCTAGGCGTCGCAATAATGGAAGGACAGTGGTGGACTTGAATTGCTCTTCGACAATGTGGCAAAGCATTCCTTGTCGTTTGCTAAGGACGCCGACGAGGGGAAGCCACCCACAGTCGGCTTCCTGGTGAAATATCTGTGCGACAATCTCATGAAGGACTCGCGGAAGGAGCTATTTGTTCTGAACGGCAATGTGTAAGTGCCAAATGTCTGCAAGCCAGCGGTGACGATGCTGATGTCTTCGAGAAGGCGTCCGGGCATCCTGGTCTTGATCAATGACTCGGACTGGGAACTCGAGGGTGAAGACAAATACGAGTTGGCCGAAAAGGACAATATTCTTTTCGTGTCTACGCTGCACGGCGGCTGAGCGCCATTGCAGATTGCACGCCGCGCGAGTCACCGACTAGCGGCAGTCTCGGACGACTTTATCGGCTTGAAGTGCCATGATCGCATTCACACTCGACTGAAATCTCACTCCCGTCCCATGCTTGTTGCCCGGCAGCCAACACCATTGCTCAATGTCGCATTCCCGTACGCAGGGCCTGAAGACTCATACCTCCGCGTATCTCTGGGCAAGAATAAGCGACCCCATCACACCACGTCATGCATTCTCAACGACAAGTTCTCCGAATCCTCAGGCGTCTTGTATCCGGATCCCGGCTCTGGAGTGCTAGTTCCGGTTCTAGGACTGGCCAGACCACTACCCAGGCCAGGAACAGGAGTTGCGAAGCCGCTTGGCGGGGCAGGCGCTTTGATGCCTTCTGGCGAAGCAGGGATGATTTCAGGAGGGAGGTTGGGAATCTTGATCCGTTTCGCTTCGTTGTTGTAACTCGCCGGAATGATCTAGGTAATCGGATCAGGGCTTTGTTGAGAGTGGGTCGCAAAAGTGCTTACCTCGATGATTTCATCCCGCGGGAAGGACAGGAAGGGGATGTCCGCGGCATTGCACGCCATCAGGTATCCGTACAGGACACGTAGAACGCTTTCGTGGGCAATGATCAGCAGATCATTCTGTTCTCTCTCAAGTTCGAGAATGATAGGTTCAAGTCGGACCGCCACATCGTGGTAGGACTGGCTATGTCAGCAAACAATCTGGCGCCAATATCGAACCAACCTCACCTCTGCTCGCGGAAATCGGTGGTGATACGGATCGAGATCATGCTTCAGCACTTCTTCAGGGTATTCCCGGCGAATTCTTTTCTCCGACTTCTTCTCACAGACTCCCGGGTTCAGCTGGCTCATCTGTGACCTCTGCCTGACCTTAAACCCCCGTTCTTGCAGATATGTAGCGGTTTCCACCGTCCTGCGCCGGGTCGACGTCCAGATGATAAGAGGTTTCAGTGGCGCGTTGATCCCTCCCTTCTCGATCAACGCTCTTCTTTCCTCCTCACGATGCTTCAACAACGTCTCGCTCATCTTCTTTGCATAGTCCTTGCCTTGAGCGGATAAGTGGGCATCAGCCTTGAACGACTCTCCCTCCAATGTCGTGCCAGCGCGGGCAAAGTAGGTATGTCGGGACTTGATGTGTAGATTGAGGAGGTAGAACACGATTCGATGGGAGAGGTAGCCGAAGCTCGTGTTGTTGACCACCAGTCTTTCTCCAGCGTTGATCATCTTGATCCAGTCTAGATCCGATTCTTCCATGGTCTCGAAATGTGGGATCTTGGCAGAGACTCGATTCAGGTAGTGCTTGACCGCCTCGGCCTCGGGCCAGCCTATGTAGTCAGGCGACGATATCTTGACGCTGCGGACGTTCTCTTCAATGATGCGCTGATCGTCACAGCTGGACTCGATGAAGAGACATTTGATGTCGTGCTTCGCAAACTCTTTGGCCAGCGATTTTCGACCTGCCGAGAGCGGGTTGACTGCATCGTAGATTGCAATTTGCCCATTCTCATGGTTAAGGAAATGGTAGATGTCCTCCCTACACTTCTTCAGGATCTTCTGCCTCAGCAGCACAGATGAGGCCGATGCATTGACAAAGAAATAGTCATCGGGGACATCACTGCCTTGGCCTACGATGGCTCTGCGGTAGTCTCCAAGATGGAAGATTCTGGTCTTGACTCCGAGCCAACGCAGATATCGGGCGAGAGCCACCGAGATGTGCGTCTTGCCTCGAGCGGGTAATCCTACCGTAGCAATAGCAATGCGACCGGCGTGGAAGAGCCGTCCTGATTCTGTGCTGTAAAGCTGAGCCGGGGCCATTTCGCCTTTCTCGGGGAGATCATGGATGGCGTCCACAAAGGTGCTGGACTTCCGCCGATAGCGGGGCGAATTGACCGCCGACTCGGCAGTGAGAAGCGTGTCCATTGCGAATATCGAGTCCTTCGGCTTCGAAGATAGGGCAAAGATGGAAGCCGGAGGACGTCTGCGGGATCGTAAGCCTGGCAGCTGTACAGCAGACGGACTGTTGTGAGCCCTGCAGTATGGATATGGCGCCCGTTTTCTTCAAGTATCATTCTAGGACTGATAGAGGAATGTCAATGACATCGGTCAACGAAGGTCGATAAGGCGGAGGACGACGTATCGTATCGGGTAATATCGGGGTTGAGTCGCTGTTTTAGTTCCAGCTTCCTAGACTCTATTTCATTGGCTGTTCATTGGGGGTTTACAAAGACGGCAACAGTTACTGTCTAGTCTTGGCACGAGGCTAACGCTAAGAAAGTTCCCTGCGCCTGAAAAGTCATGAAGCTCTGGGAAGACCAGTGATCCGCATAAAGTCACGAGAGCAGCCACGGGTCATTCAGTGTTCTGACCTTCCATCTTCTCCCGTGCGCGTCGCCTCCTTGTCCCTTGTCTACTCTAGGTGCAGCTTAGAGCCTTACAGACGCTGTGAGGATGGCCGCAACAACGGTGACGGTGCCCCAGACGGCGGTGGTCGTTGAGGAGAAGCCATCATACTCATCACCATTGTCCTTTCTCACAGACAACGCCATCGCCGCGACTATCTCGGACACCTACTCAAACCTTTCTGCGAGGAGAAAACTGTTAGGCCTCGAGAACCCGGGAACAGTCGACAACATTGCGCGGGAAGTGCAAAAGGATGTTCTCCTGTCCAATTTCATGTTCTCCGGCCTGCGTTGCGACCTACAGAAAGTCTTCAGCATAAACCCTCTGTTCCGGCTACAACACGGCTTTGCTATGGGATCGCAAGCCTTGCCCCCGTGGCAATTGATGGCGTTGTATGGTACTTCAGATGTACGTGTTGTTTGACCCCCGGCTTTAGCCCACTCCAACACCGTTCCGGGGCTGATCAATATGTCCATAGATTTTCATGCAAGCAGCCTACTCCAGCGATCGATCGCTCACAGCATGGGGAAACCTTCGATGGTCTCCTCGATTCGTGACCAAGACGCAAACCTCCATCGATCCGCGACAGGCCCAAGCAATGGTACAGATCGAGAATGAATACACAGGCGACGATTTCTCTGCCTCGGTCAAGGCCCTCAGCCCTTCCATCATGGAAGGTGGTCTCACTGGTATCGTTATCGGAAGCTACTTGCAGTCAATAACACCGCGGCTGTCGTTGGGTCTCGAGGGCGTCTGGCAGCGACCTGGTCTGAACAACAAGCCCGAGACCGCGGTATCATACTGTGCGAGATACAAGGGAACAGATTGGATCGCTAGCGCACAATGGTTGAGCCAGGGATCCTTGGGAGCCTCGTACTGGAGGCGCTTGACAGAAAAGGTGGAAGCGGGTGTGGACTGCCAGCTGCAGTTTGCTCCCGGATTTGGCGCAGGCATGTTTGGAGGTGCTAGAAAGGAAGGCACTACGACTGTTGGCGTCAAATACAACTTCAGCAATTCGGTCTATCGAGCTCAGGTCGACAGCGCTGGCAAGTTTGGCGTCGTGCTTGAGAGACGAGTCGCTCCACCAGTCACATTGACATTCGCGGCCGAGATCGATCAGTGG